CATGCAAGCAAAGTTGGTACAACCTTCCATTTGACAGACAGAGCAAACAGAGCAGCAAATCCACACATCATTGGGTATGGATGGCATGGATGGTACTCAGCATTGGGAAAAACTACAGCAATATGGCTTTACCCAAGACTATGGCGCCGCGAAACTTATGGTTTAGTTTCATTTTCCCGCCATGTAATTTAATGCCGGGGATGGATTCAGCTATTCTCAGTTTGTTTATAGACAGCTATTCTGGTGCCAGGTGTTGGAATGCTGGAAGACTGTGCCAGCAAAAGACAATGCCAACCACTCAGATTGATGCGGTGTCAAATCTATCCAGAAAAATTTGGTGGAAAGGAACTGGTGGATCTTTCTTAGCAATGCAACAGCGCAGTAGTTTGCAAAGCAAGAGCCGTTCCTTGCGTTCCAAATGCCTTTGCCTTGACATGGGCAGCTTGACATATGCACTGGATAGCAATGGTGCATGGCAAAACTTCAACCATTCCTGGGAACAGAGACCAGGCTATAGTTACTACTTACGCCGTAGTGAGCAGATGTTAGTAGCTGCGTCGCGTGTTCTTTTTTCTTCTGCATCAGCATGTTGCTCCAGGCTGTGGCATGCAGCCTGGCCTTGCGTGCTTGTGAACCTTGTCAGGGAAGAGGTGTGTTTGTGCGCATCTTTGGCAGAAGGCTGTGCTGAGGTTTCCATATAATTACAGAGTTAGGGCCCGGTGGAAGATGCTTAAATGCTACTGTTTCTGAGAAAGAAGAACTTTTTGAACAGAGCACTGTCAAGACGTGGGAAGACAGCAAACTGAAATAAGGGGTCTGATCTGTCGGGATGCTTCTAGTGAGTGAACAGCACTGGTGCGGGTGTGTTTCTGCAAACTTAGGAGATGTCTTTGTTCTGGAGTGCAGCAATGAGGCGGGAAACGTTGCAGAACTTCAATGTACCTCCTTCAGCAATAGTGCATGCAGTCAGGTTTACCAGAAATGCCAATGCTCAGAACGGCCAATTTTGTACCATCCAAGCTATGGACGCGTTGATCCATCACGCTACAGCAGGTTATTCCAGGAGTCACTTCAGGCGGGTGTGGGAGAAGTGGACAGAAGTGGATAAACAATGCTGTAGTTTGAGTTGATGCCATGTGTCTCCGAAACATTTTTGATACCCAACTCGGATAGGGATCAACAATTTTACCCTCCAGATTTTACCCCGCTTTATATATATATATATATATCATTTATATTTATGTTAAATTTTGTTTATCTCCAATTTCAGCTCTAAACACCCATCGCCATCCCCGTGGCGTCAGGCACTGCTGCAACCGGATGCTGAGTGCCTTGGCGCAGCCATCGGGGCCTCACAGCAGATGTGGCGCTGCGTGCGGAGCCCAGGTGGCATGGTGAGGTGCGAATCGTCAAAGCCCGAAATCCCAAAATCAATGGTGAGGTTGATGGATTCTGATGGATGATATATTAGATTTGGTAAATGATAATCATTGATATGAGAATAATTGACAATATATGATGTGTTACATGCTACATGTTACATGTTACATGTTGCATGTTGTTGTTGTTGTTGTTGCTGCTGTTGCTGTTGCTGTTGCTGTTGCTGTTGCTGTTGCTGTTGCTGCTGCTGCTGCTGCTGTTGTTGTTGTTGTGGTTGTTGTTGTTGTTGTTGTTGTTGTTGTTGTTATATTATATATTGTTATTGTTTATTTGTCATTGTCATTATCATTCTTACTATTACTGTACCTTTGTCGCTGAAAGCATCGAAAGCAAAGCACCAAGGCCATGTCATTGGTGAGTGAATCACAGAAGCACTCCTTGGAGCTCGAGGTGCCATGGCCATTGGGATGGTCATCCGGGGACTGAAAAAACTGGGGATTTATGGTAGCCCTAGCCATGAAAAATACGGGATGTATAATATGACAACTAGATACAACTAGGTCATATTTATGTATTGCCAATAGTTGGGGGAATTGTTAATAAAACTGGGATTCAAATAGCCATCGGATTCCCAATATTGCAAGAGGATCATAGTCATAGCCCATAGAAACCATGTTTTGACCATGACACATGTGTTGCCAGAGACCAACATCACCACTTGTTCAAGTGCTGGACAAATTTGGAAGATGTGCTCCACTTAATTGGCATTTGACCTTCCGCTTGCTGTGTATGAATGCATAGCAAGTAGTTTCAGTTGTATTTTTTTTTGAGTAGGAATAGTGCTCTCCGGATATTAGACTGCTGTGGTTTCCCTTTCGACTTACACAGTGAGCTGTGACTTAAGTGAGAAGAATGACCGGGATCAGGTTCCTGCGTTCGATTTGTAATTTTCCGTTCCAAAGAATGCTCCTCACTTTTTTCGCACAGGCTGGTGCTGTGGTAGCTTATGCTTCAGCCCTGCGCGACGGAGGTCATTTTCAACAGCTCAGGTGCTGCCTGTGGAACAAGCCCCAAGTATCCTTCAGATCAGCGGATATCAGTGGATATCAGTGGATATCAGTGGTATCTTTAAGATTCTTCTGGAATTCATCCGTGATTCTTCAAGCATACACCTGGCTACATAACCTTCCCCAAAGAGATCCCAACGGGAATCCTTTTGAAGACTGAAAGTGCAAGCGATCTGCAGAACACCTGTGTGCATACCCACAGGCTCTGCACAGTCATCGCAACACGGCATTCCTACGTTCTCCTCATTCTTTGCCTTTCTGACTGTCCTCATGCTCACATGCACTTGCAAAGACAAATCTTGCTGTACATAGAATATACAAATACCATAGAACGTACCTTGGTAATATCAGTCATTTCCATCTGTTTGTGCTGGTTGTCCGGATGAGTTGGAAACAAATGCTTCTATTGAGAGTGTGCTTGGCGTGTCCAGCGGTTCGTGAAAGGAATGCTGAGATGTTGCGTCATAGGACAAGGTTGGTGCCCATTGGAGAAAAGTTTGCACCTCTGCTTTCTTTGGGTGCCCACACTATCTTCGTGTTGGATCAAGCAGTCTACTGCAAACCTCTCTCCCATTGATTTTGGCAGGTGCCTCCTAGACCAAATGGGCCGACCTTTTGTTCTCAGCTGGAAAATGATAGTGCGCGGGTGCAGCTGAATGCATAGGGCATACATAGGGCTGAACCGCGTGGGGAAACTTACATCTCATATCGACTCATATGCAATGTATGCAAGTTTGCTTTAGATCCGCCTACTCATTGCAGAGCGTCAGACAATTCACCGACTGCAGCTCTTTGCCGTCTCTTATAAGTTGACCTGTCTTGGCTCCCTCCAGGTTGCATCGTCTACATGTTGTACTTTGGCAAACGCCCCTTTAGCGTGCAGGGAACCTTGGTCTTGTATTGTGAGACATGCTGGTTTCAGACCAAGGCAGGTGGAAGAGCGTGTTGGAAAACAACACAGAGAAGTCTTCGAGAACGACATAGACCAGGAAAGCATTCAGGTCAAAGTCTTCCAAAAGTCTTCCAAAAGTCTTCCAATGACATGAAGCTGTGATAACTTCGTTTTAGTCCTTCTTGATCATTTTTTGCATATTTGCCGTTTTCTGATAAACTTCTAGAAGCATGTTGTTTTGAGGCATGAAAACATGGAGCATCTTGCAATGATGGAGAGGCCCACCTTCTGACCATGGTGACACAGCCACCACTGCTTAACAAGTATGTTATCTTTGCACCTTCCCCAGACTTCACAGAGCTTCGTGCTTTTTCTCACAATTTGCCGGTAGTCTCATAGCCCCTTTGCATTGGACAGGGAAGGAACGTAATGCAAAGGAAGTCAGTGCTTTCAGGGTCAATGATGCTCCACTGTATCGCTTGTACTTCAAGCCTTGGAGAGGTATGCCCTTATTGATGAAGCAGCACTTTGCAAATGCTCTTGGATCGAATCCAAATTCACAGCTCAAATGTTTTGCGATTCAAGGATTTATAGACTTCCTTAAAGTTCCGAGGGATAGTTATAGCTCCATGACGCTCCATGCATGTCAGGCTCACAGGGAGTCGCCTGCCACCTTGGATGCTTCAGATGGACCCCGGGGGGGGAACCTGGCAACTGACAAACTTGTGGGATCTGGCGTGGCTCGCTTCATTATGTTTCATTGTTTTCTCCTTTTATCTTCTTTTTCTGAGGTATTTCTTTGGGAACCAAAAGTGTAAGTCAGAGTATATGAAAATATATGAAGAGAACTACCAGCGAACTCATGTCAGCTCCTCTGAAAACTCGAAAACCTAGCGCTGATTTTTTCAAACATTTGAGACTATTGCTTCTTGTTGTTCCTAGATCCTGCCTTTGGACAGTGATTTCCATCAAACCTTGATTCTAGTGTAAAGACTACTGAAAGACTGCTTGGTGGCAGCACGGAGAATTGAAAAAAAGCAACCAAGTGACACTCAGGAGCATCAGGATCTTCTCAACAGCATCAAGCAGTCTTATGAAAGTCTCATGAAAGTCTCATGAAAGTCTCATGAAAGTCTTTATTCCACCTGTTGAAACTCCAGGCAAGAGAGTGCCAGGACGAGGAGGCACAGCAGATTCTCCAGTGTCATCAATCCAATTCTTCGCATTTTACCAGTTGCTGAAAAACTCTAAGACCTCAGCTGCGGTGATGTATAGATTGTATAGGAATTCGCTCATAGCTTTCTGTTCACAAGTTTAACAGACTTTCCCCAGCTTTTGTTGTGCGACTATAATCTGGCCTTCGAAAAAAGGTTCCAGATTCATGTCATTTGGGGCTCCAAGCGCCTCCCCAGCACGTAGCACAACAGCATACTCCAAAGATATTCAATGAAAAGAAGCGGTTGCAATTTTCAGACTGATTCCACAGATTCTACTTCAACATCTATACAGCCTATAAACCTCAAATGACTCTAATGCATTCAGAATTTGTACACTCTGCAAAATGATTGAGGAGACAAGGCCACCAGGATCCTGTCTTCGACCCACTCACGAATGCTTACTGTAAATGCCAAGAAATTCGGTTTCCACCGTCGTGTTCCAGATGAATTTTCGCTGATGCTCCGAAGTAGCCATGCCGATGCCACGTGTCAACGAATCTGATGAAGACCAAGACCAAGTCTTCTCTGCACCTTGAGCTTTTCATTCTGGCATCCGAGTGGTGCTAGGGAGTTATGTTAAACAAAATAAAAATCAAAAAGGTAAGACATGGTCACCGCGCCTTGAAGAGCGCTGGAGTGTTTACACATTTCATCATTGGCTTCGATCGGCCATCATCATGAAATTGTGAACCCTTTCAAGGTTTCATGTGTTTCAATACAATCTCTCTTTCTGACATATCTCGAAACCCTGCAAAGTGCGTCCTTTGAGGTTCATTATTCGCGATTACTTTGCTTTTCGATAAGCGTGTAATTCACACACGGATTTCGGCAACTTTTTTTGATTCTGTGCATCTCTTGAACTCTGTTTTTTTTTAGCTGTCCAAGTCAAAGCCATCAAATGGCTGTGCAAGTGCAAAAGAAACGATAACGTAGCATCAAGTCGGTGTGCAAGTGCAAGAGAAGATCTGATAACGTAGCATCAAGTCGGTGTGCGAGTGCAAGAGAAGATCTGATAACGTAGCATCAAGTCGGTGTGTAAGTGCAAAAGGATCTGATAACGTAGCATCAAGTCGGTGTGCAAGTGCAAGAGAAGATCTGATAACGTAGCATCAAGTCGGTGTGCAAGTGCAAGAGAAGATCTGATAACGTAGCATCAAGTCGGTGTGCAAGTGCAAGAGAAGATCTGATAACGTAGCATTCAGTCGGTGTGCAAGTGCAAGAGAAGATCTGATAACGTAGCATCAAGTCGGTGTGCAAGTGCAGGAGAAGATCTGATACCGTAGCATCAAGTTGGTGTGCAAGTGCAAAAGAAGATCTGATACCGTAGTGTCAAGTCGGTGTGCAAGTGCAAGAGAAGATCTTATAATGTAGCATCAAGTCTGTGTGCAAGTGCAAGAGAAGATCTGATAACGTAGCATCAAGTCGGTGTGCAAGTGCAAGAGAAGATCTGATAACGCAGCCTCAAGTTGGTGTGCAAGTGCAAGAGAAGATCTGATAACGTAGAGAAGATCTGATAATGTAGCATCAAGTCGGTGTGTAAGTGCAAGAGAAGATCTGATAACGTAGCATCAAGTCGGTGTGCAAGTGCAAGAGAAGATCTGATAACGTAGCATCAAGTCAGTGTGCAAGTGCAAGAGAAGATCTGATAACGTAGCATCAAGTCGGTGTGCAAGTGCAAGAGAAGATCTGATAACGTAGCATTCAGTCGGTGTGCAAGTGCAAGAGAAGATCTGATAACGTAGCATCAAGTCGGTGTGCAAGTGCAGGAGAAGATCTGATACCGTAGCATCAAGTTGGTGTGCAAGTGCAAAAGAAGATCTGATACCGTAGCATCAAGTCGGTGTGCAAGTGCAAGAGAAGATCTGATAATGTAGCATCAAGTCTGTGTGCAAGTGCAAGAGAAGATCTGATAACGTAGCATTCAGTCGGTGTGCAAGTGCAAGAGAAGATCTGATAACGCAGCCTCAAGTTGGTGTGCAAGTGCCAGAGAAGATCTGATAACGTAGAGAAGATCTGATAACGTAGCATCAAGTCGGTGTGCAAGTGCAAGAGAAGATCTGATAACGTAGCATCAAGTCGGTGTGCAAGTGCAAGAGAAGATCTGATAACGTAGCATCAAGTCGGTGTGCAAGTGCAAGAGAAGATCTGATAACGTAGCATTCAGTCGGTGTGCAAGTGCAAGAGAAGATCTGATAACGTAGCATCAAGTCGGTGTGCAAGTGCAGGAGAAGATCTGATACCGTAGCATCAAGTTGGTGTGCAAGTGCAAGAGAAGATCTGATAATGTAGCATCAAGTTGGTGTGCAAGTGAAAGAGAAGACCTGATACCGCAGTGTCAAGTCGGTGTGCAAGTGCAGGAGAAGACCTGATAACGTAGCATCAAGTCTGTGTGCGAGTGCAAGAGAAGCTCTGATACCGTGGTATCCAGTTGGCGTGCAAGTGCGAGAGAAGATCTGATAACGTAGCATCAAGTCGGTGTGCAAGTGCAAGAGAAGATCTGATAACGTAGCCTCAAGTTGGTGTTGCAAGTGCAAGAGAAGATCTGATAACGTAGCATCAAGTCGGTGTGCAAGTGCAAGAGAAGATCTGACACCATAGCATCGAGTGGGTGTGCAAGTGCAAGAGAAGATCTGCCGACATAGCATCAAGTTGGTGTGCAAGTGCAAAAGAAGATCTGATACCGTAGTGTCAAGTCGGTGTGCAAGTGTTAGGGAAGATCTGATACCGTGCTTTTCAGTCTGCGTGCAAGTGCAAGAGAAGATCTGATAACGTAGCATCAAGTCGGTGTGCAAGTGCAAGAGAAGATCTGATAACGCAGCCTCAAGTTGGTGTGCAAGTGCCAAAGAAGATCTGATAACGTAGAGAAGATCTGATAATGTAGCATCAAGTCGGTGTGCAAGTGCAAGAGAAGATCTGATAACGTAGCCTCAAGTTGGTGTTGCAAGTGCAAGAGAAGATCTGATAACGTAGCATCAAGTCGGTGTGCAAGTGCAAGAGAAGATCTGATAACGCAGCCTCAAGTTGGTGTGCAAGTGCAAGAGAAGATCTGATAACGTAGAGAAGATCTGATAACGTAGCATCAAGTCCGTGTGCAAGTGCAAGAGAAGATTTGATAATGTAGCATCAAGTTGGTGTGCAAGTGAAAGAGAAGACCTGATACCGCAGCGTCAAGTCGGTGTGCAAGTGCAGGAGAAGACCTGATAACGTAGCATCAAGTCTGTGTGCGAGTGCAAGAGAAGCTCTGATACCGTGGCATCCAGTTGGTGTGCAAGTGCGAGAGAAGATTTCATAACATGGCATCCAGCTGGTGTGCAAGTGCAAGAGACGATCTGATAAAGTGGCATCCAGTTGGTGTGCAAGTGCAAGAGAAGATCTGATAACGTAACATCAAGTCGGTGTGCAAGTGCAAGAGAAGATCTGACACCATAGCATCGAGTGGGTGTGCAAGTGCAAGAGAAGATCTGCCGACATAGCATCAAGTTGGTGTGCAAGTGCTAAAGAAGATCTGATACCGTAGTGTCAAGTCGGTGTGCAAGTGTTAGAGAAGATCTGATACCGTGCTTTTCAGTCTGTGTGCAAGTGCAAGAGAAGATCTGAGAACGTAGCATCGAGTCGGTGTGCAAGTGCAAGAGAAGATCGGATAACGTAGCATCAAGTCGGTGCGCAAGTGCAAGAGAAGACTTGATAACGTAGCATCAAGTCGGTGAGCAAGTGCAAGAGAAGATCTGATAATGTAGCATCAAGTCGGTGCGCAAGTGCAAGAGAAGATTTGATAATGTAGCATCAAGTCTGTGTGCGAGTGCAAGAGAAGATCTGATAATGTAGCATCAAGCCTGTTTGCAGGTGCAAGAGAAGAAATAGAATCAAGGCGGTGTGCAAGGGCAAGAGAAGAAAAGATAACGTACCATCAAGTTGGTGCAAGTGCAAGAGAAGTTCAGATAACGTAGCATCAGAATTGCGTTTAAGTGCAAGAGGTTCTGGTAACGTAGCATCAAGTGGCCCGCGCTCCTAGAGGAGCGGACACCTAAAACATCGATGTTGAGATATCTGGAGAAAAATGCATGTTCTGTCACATGATCATCGCTGATACCCTTTGAAGACAAGGTGGGCGGAAAAAAATACAAGTGCAACAGTCGTTCCGGACGAAAAACAACTATTGAGTCTGGTGGGTCGGAATGAGGTCTTGGGGGAATGGAGTTTCTCAGTTCTTGCATGTTTTCTTCGAGTTAGGTGGGTGTCAGCGGTCCTGGTGTTAGAATCTAACATGCATCAAACTCATTATGTACAAGTACATCTATCCGTGGACTTTCTTCATTTGGCAAGTTACTCAGGCAGAATTCGAAGATGAAGAGGATCATGAGCCAGCGGTCGACGAGGCCCATGTTCTGAAGGTTCAACGGAAGTCCGGTCCGTGGCTGTTGACTTTTCGCACGGCAAACAACGATTTAGCCTGTTCGGTTTTAGGCTCATGAAGTCTTGGGCCCAGTGGAAGCTGTGCAATCCATGAAGAAGGAATTTGCCACTGGGCAGAATTAAGGATTCGATGGATTTCTGAACTTTGGGCTTGGTGTTTTGCAAACATTGAGTTGAATTTGCAGGCTCTTGCTACCATAAGCTACTTTAGCTGCAGCAAATTGAAGAGCAAGTGGAAAGGCAATGGGAAAAGTATGAACATGCAATTGCCATTGGATCCATTGGGCTCTCTGAAGGATAAATTTCGTTCCCTTCTGGTCCCGGTCCCTTTGTTTATTGTCTATTTTGAAAGACTGTCCGCATGTTTCTTTGGCATTTGTTACATTCTGCACTGGCATTGTGTGCATTATATTTGACCGTTCCCAGAGGGTTTGCGGCAGCTTGACTCAACTTTCAAGACAATCGTAGATTGGCAGGTTGTGATTCATCAGTCTGTGTCCAACGAGTCTGTGTATGCGAGAGAGCCACAGTTCGGAGTTGTTTTCCATTTTGCCAGACTGCTTTACATACCAGCACAGCCATTTGGTTCCCATGCTCCCCAACAAGCTTTGCGGCACACGTCTTGTTCTCAGCCTCGTGGTCAGAGGCTCTTGATGGTCAAGTTTTGATCAGTTTTGACACTTTACGTTTAGGAAGAGGAGATGCCTTTTGGGGCTGATTATCCTAGAAAATTCCATTTGGCTCAGACTCGGAACCGCCGGCTTTGTTGAGGACTCGTTGGTCGAGAGGATGAATGGCAAGATTACTGAGCTACAGACTGTGATTCAGGCCAATAAACGCCAATCAACCCAGGGTAGTTTTGCGCTTTAAGGAATGGCATAGGCAGAACGCGCAATCCTGAATAAATAAGAATGGTATTACTATCTTTCACATTTCCGCCAATAGTTCTGCCATGCAGATTGTGTTCTTGCTGATCTTGCTTCACTTCGTGCAGATTCTCTGGTCCTGTCTGCTGTGTGCGTTCTACTTTTCCTTTCCCATTCTGCTTTTCGAAATCTGTCTTGTCCCACCTTTGAGTCGCTTCTCCCACGCGTTTCTCCGTCGTCAACGCCACAGGAGGTGCCTTTCACTGCTCCGCGAGTCCCTGGCACCCGGCACAAGTCGATGAGCTCCAAGGAGGCTCTTGCACAGGCGAAGGCGGGATCCTTGCAACGGCAGCAACGAGATCGGCCGCAAGGAATAAAATTATATATAATTGATTATATGATTACATAATAATTTTATATATTATTAGAAACATTAGAAACTATTACTATAGCAACTATGTACTATTCGCAACTATTATCATTGATTCAGTTCATTTTCATTCTTCTTATTATCATCATTTCCATGATGCTTATTATTGTTATATTTTTTGAAGTTCGTGGTTATTACTGTGATATCATTACTACGTATCATTATTAGGAGGGACAACAACACGAAGGACCAGGACAAGTGACAAGCACAAGGGCAAGAGCAATGGAAACACCTTTAATGACAAGAAAAAGAATACCCAGGCAAATTCAAGGCACAGACCGACACCTAGCCTGGCCCATACGGTTTCTTTGTCTTCGTACACTTTAGCGCTCCGCATGTTTTCCTTCAGGGCAAAATTGATTGTGGCTCACGGTGAGTTCAGTTTGTGAAGCTTGCTTGGCATGGCTTATGTTTTTCATCGCTGTCAGGAGCCTTCGGTCTTGGTAAAGCGCCGCGAAAATCGAACTAAGGAGGAAGAAGAGAAGAAGGATGCCGATGATTTCACTATTTCAATGTGCAGTATGAAAGTTCTTGTGAAACTGATCTAGAACACCTCTCCTCAGTCCTGAAGATTGGGCATCATGCTGGGTGTGAGGCAAGAACAATCTATTACGGGCCACGGGTTGTAGTCCTCTCAGCACTTGAGGGAGCGCACTTTTCAGGAGAAGATGCAGCACAGTTCTCGGCGCTATGGTGCTTCAGTCGGTGGCCGAGATGGCAGCAATGACATTCGTCTTCATGGCAGGCCGAGCCCAGCCTAGAGCACCGTGGCATATCCCATGTGGTTCTGTTCTACAGGGGATGGCCTAGTTCTTAATGGGGGAAAAGGATAATCAACCATAGGATTTTGGACCCATATAATAGCAGTAACTATGGTCCAGGCACTCCCACTACTTCGCACCACCTTCGCCATGGTGTTTGGTGCCAGGTGGATGGAATTGGCCACCCAGTTTAGTGGGCAGCCCCTGGATTCCAAGCCAGGTGCAAGGCGCCTTCCTATTGTGAAGAACTTGATTTTTGTCTTCAGATCGCAAGTGGCGTTGGAGATATGAAATTTGCGTATACTCTGCTAGCTGCTAGACTACCTGTTTGTTCATTTTGCTTTCGTTGGTCAGTGCTTCCAGTTATGTTCGTCAGGCAACACGTCAAAGCGCCTCGACATTCCACACTGGAAATGCTCGAGGAAGCTGGACTCTGCTTTCCACTCTGGCATCCCACAGGCAATGAAACGGATCCTGGCCAATTCTCAGATTGGATAGGTCGGATAGGTCCTATTTTGTTTCCTTGTTTCTTTACCTTGCTCAGTTCCAAAGGGTAGCTGTTTTGCAGCAAAAGTGACTCAATTGTTCCACTTGTTCTTGCCCTCCAAACCTACCATATTTGTAGGGTTATGTCACTCACGGGTAGGATCAATATCCCCTTATCCGTTGTACTCAGTCTAGCCAAGCAACACAACGCTATGAAATACGATCCATTAGGAGCATGGTGCAGTACCAAAGCTGCTGCTACTTTCAAACTAGTTTGCACCGCAGTTTGGACATTGATTCATCGTAAGATTGCTCTTGCCGTTATTGTTTCATTTGGGCAACTCCTGATCAGTTATTGTTTCTGTTGGCTGTTGCGCTGACTTCATCCTTTCACCCGAATGGATCCGCTGAGTTCTGGTAGCTGTGGCAGGCTATTTCAAGCTGATTTGGGACGGAATGTCCATCCTTGTAACCCTGCTGGACGCTTTCACTATGCCAGTGTCGTTGGCTTGGGACACCTATGCAGGCATGGCCGAATCTTGGACCCAGCTTCAAAGAGCGTGGTACCTGCACACAGTTTTCCCCCTCCGCAATATCAAGTCTCAAGTAGTGCGTGCCATGGTCATATACCATCATATACCCATATCCCATATTGGGGATGGTCATACCTCTATAGGGATGGCACAGTGGCCAACAGAAGGACTTCTAATGGTGGGATGACCATAACCCATATACAATGTGTCAACCATCGAATCTAAGGCCAATGTTGGGCCATGTGTTGGTACCTCTTTCACAAAAATTGATGAGAAATTCGAAGTAAACATCCCCTTTGCAGCAATCCTTGCTATGATTTGTCTGCACGTCACACGGATGAGCACAACTATCACTTATGGCTCCCTCTATCCATGTGATCCGTGCACCCGGCTGTTCACCTGACCTAACCTTTCGCACTTGTGATATTGTTTTGCGCCTCGGGTTTTCCACAACAACAACATGCAATGCGAACAGACTCTCAAAATGCCTTGCAACGGTGCGTGAAGCAGTTTTCGACAATTGAGGCATGTTTTCATGAAAAGCACATGCTATTAAACTTAAAAGAGGTGTCAAGTGTATCTTTGATTCGTGTGACGACTTGAGAAGCTTTTGACGAAAAACGTGACGCTCCGTTGAGTTCTGATGATTCTCTGACAGTTACCATATTTGAGAAGGAACTTTACGTTGCGCTGTTTGGCGGAGAAATCTTTTGTCTAGCATGGCATGCTCCTTTTCCACATTCCTGTCGAATCTTCTAAGTCTTAGCATTTCACTGCGGACAAGAGTCTAGAAGAGACAAGAGTCGGGGCAGAGGAAAATTGCCGCGCTTAGGACGCCGGATCATACTACTTGCTGATTGTGTTCTGGATCACTTTCTTCTTCTGGCTTCTGGATATGCCGGCTGCTCGGCATGCGCCTGGCTGTGTGCTGACCTGCATTGGGCGGACCCGGCAAAGCTGGCAATGGCGGCAATGGGAAATCCCAATTTGTCATGGAACATTTTCAAAAGCATCCTTTGAATGGAGGGTATAATGGATATTTCCATGGCGTCTGCAGGAACAGACAGACTTTGCGATGGTACTTTTGCGATCTACAGGCAAACATTTGGGAGTAGTCGGAGTAGTGTCATCTTTTTGGTTTTCTCCTCATTTGTCCCTAGAGGACAAGAAGCTTCACAGGAACAGGTAGGGCCAGGGCCCGGCCGTCTCCACGGAGCAAACATGCACAGGAGAGGAGAGTCGTAGGAGGCTAGAGACAAACAGAAAAGCCAAAAAATATGAATTACCAATAATTATCATAGATTCAAGTTGAATGGTTTCTTGATTAGTGTAACAGGGCATATTTCACATTGATTTGAGACCGAAGGCATTCCTTTGACGTTGAATTGTATGTTCATCAATCTTTATGCCATCCAGAGCTTCAGAGACCAAAGCTCAAACTTCAAGGAATATACCCTCAAGTAAATTAACATAGACCCTGCCAGATAGGGGTTGGAAGACTAGTTTCCACTATAAACTGGTCATTTTGAGGGTCTATGTTAATTTACTGGAGGGTAATAAATGGGCCAACGCCCTGGTGCCGCCGACCCCCATTTTGAGGGCCATGGTTATCCGATGTTATCCGATGTTATCCTATATACATGTTTCCATATTTGTCATTTGTCCCAAATTTATTTTCTAGTGATTCTGTCGCTGTTTCAACATGAATAGAAGATGGGGCTCTTTAGTTATAAGTCGGTTTATAATCACGTTATAGACAGTTATACCTACCATAAACCACAGGTAAGCGAGTTATGAACCAATGCGGCTATCACGTGAGGGCCCTATGCCAAAGCATGTATATCCCTGTATGGAGCGGCTTGGCAGTGGAAAGAAAGGCAGTGGCAAAGCGCTAAAGGCCCACGGGAGGGTTTCGTGTCCTGGTGGACCGTGCTTCGCAGCGGTTTGGAAACCTTCTAAATGGACCATAGCGACATGGCCAGGCGCTGGCACAGGGTTGCCGCTGCAGGGCAACGTGTTCGCGTTGACCTGGGAAGGCAAAGCGCTAAAGGGTGACGGAAGGGTTTCGTGTCCTGGGACCGTGCTTCGCGGCGGTTTTAAAAACCTTCTAAATGGACTATGTGGCAACATGGCCAGGCGCTGGGAAGGCAGTGGCAAAGCGCGGCTAAAGGCCCACGGAAGGGTTTCGTGTCCTGGTGGACCATGCTTCGCAGCGGTTTTGAAACCCTCGAAAGAGATTATGGCAACACGGCCAGGTGGTGGGAAGGCAATGGCAAAGCGCTAAAGGCCCACGGGAAGGTTTCGTGTCCTGGTGGAAATGCTTCGCAGCGGTGGAAATGCTTCGCAGCGGTTTTGAAACCCTCTAAATGGATTATGGCGACATGGCCAGGCGCTGGCGAAGGTCTGCCGCTGCAGGGCAACGTGTTCGCGCTGACCTGGAAGGCAGTGGCAAAGCGCTAAAGGCCCATGGGAGGGTTTCGTGTCCTGGTGGAAATGCTTCGCAGCGGCTTTGAAACCCTCGAAAGAGACTATGGCGACATGGCCAGGCGCTGGCAAAGGGCTGCCGCTGCAGGGCAACGTGTTCGCGCTGACCTGGAAGGCACTGGCAAAGCGCTAAAGGCACACTGGAGGGTTTCGTGTCCTGGTGGACCGTGCTCCGCCGCGTTTTTGAAACCCTCTAAATGGACTATGGTAACATGGCCACGCGCTGGCAAAGGGTTGCCGCTGCAGGGCAACGTGTTCGCGATGACCTGGAAGGCAGTGACAAAGAGCTAAAGGCCCATAGGAGGGTTTCGCGTCCTGGTGGAACGTGCTTCGCAGCCGTTTTGAAACCCCTTCTAAAGAGATTATAGCGACATGGCAAGGCGCTGGGCAGGCAGGGGCGAAGCGCCCAAGGCCCACGGGAGGCGTGTTTCGCAGCGGTTTTGAAACACTTTAAATGGATTATGACGACATGGCCAGGCGATGGGAAGGCAGTGGCAAAGCGCCAAAGGTCCACGGAAGGGTTTTGTGCCTGGTGGACCGTGTTTCGCAGCTGTTTTGAAACCTTCTAAATGGACTGTATGGCGACATGGCCAGGCGCTGGGAAGGCAGTGGCAAAGCGCTAAAGGCCCACGGAAGGGTTTCGTGTCCTGGTGGACCGTGCTTCGCAGCGGTTTTGAAACCCTCTAAATGTATATGGCGACATGGCCAGGCGCTGGCAAAGGGCTGCCGCTGCAGGGCAACGTGTGTTCGCGCTGACCTGGAAGGCAGTGGCAAAAAACTAAAGGCCCACGGAAGGGTTTTGTGTCTTGGTGGAATGTTTCGCAGCGGAAGGCAGTGGCAAAGCGCTAAAGGCCCACGGGAGGGTTTCATGTCCTGGTGGAAATGCTTCGCAGCGGTTTTGAAACCCTCGAAACAGACTATGGCGACATGGCCAGGCGCTGGGAAGGCAGTGGCAAAGCGCTAAAGGCCCACGGAGGGTTTCGTGTCCTGGTGGACCGTGCTTCGCAGCGGTTTTGAAACCTTTAAATGGACTGGCCAGGCGCTGGCAAAGGGTTGCCGCTGCAGGGCAACGTGTTCGCGGTGACCCGGGAAGGCACTGGCAAAGCGTTGAAGGCCCACGGGAGGGTTTCGTATCCTGGTGGACCGTGCTTCGCGGCCGTTTTGAAACGTTCCAAATGGACTATGGCGACATGGCCAGGCGCTGGGAAGGCAGTGGCAAAGCGCTAAAGGCCTACGGAAGGGTTTCGTGTCCTGGCGGACCGTGCTTCGCAGCGGTTTTGAAACCCTCTAAATGGACTCTGGCGACATGGCCAGGCGCTGGCAAAGGGCTGCCGCTGCAGGGCAATGTTTTCGCGCTGACCTGGAAGGCACTGGCAAAGCGCTAAAGGCACACTGGAGGGTTTCGTGTCCTGGTGGACCGTGCTCCGCCGCGTTTTTGAAACCCTCTAAATGGACTATGGCGACATGGCCAGGCGCTGGCAAAAGGCTGCCGCTGCAGGGCAACGTGTTCGCGCTGACCTGGAAGGCACTGGCAGAGCGCTACAGGCACACGGGAGGGTTTCGTGTCCTGGTGCACCGTGCTTCGCAGCACTTTTGAAACCGTCTAAATGGATTATGGCGACATGACCAGGCGCTGGCAAAGGGCTGCAGGGCTAAAGGCCCACCGCAGCGTGCATGTCCTGGTGGACCGTGCAGGCCGAGGTCCTATAGCCGCACACCTGCCGCGATCCCGGGCGCCGCCCCGCCTAGGCCAAGGCTAGGCGGGGTCGGCGGATATATAAATATACGTATGTATGTATGTAAGTATGTATGTATGTATGTAAGTATGTATGTATGTATGTATGTATGTATGTTGGTATGGTATGGTATGGTATGGCATGGTATGGCATGGCATGGCATGGCATGGTATGGTATGGTATGGTATGTATTGTAATGCAATGTAATGTAATTTATGTAATGTAATGTTATGTAATGTAACGTAATGTAATGTATTGTAATTTAATGTAATGATTGTGGCCCAATCACCACAGGGCGCCCTTTTGAGCCTCGTGCATGGCTGCATGCGGATTACTCGCAGACTGCTGAGCCCAACGGGAGACAGAGAGAGCTGAAGGCAGGCTGAGGTCTAGCTGGGTGACTCGGGACTTTACCCTGGACTTCCCCTTTGGCTAGATCGAGAAATGTGATAATATGATGTAATGTAATGTTTTCTATGTAATGTTATGTATTTAATGTTGTGTATGTATGTAATGTACTGTAATGTATTGTAAGGTAGTGTAAGGTAATGCAATGTAATGTAATGTGATGTAAGGTAATGTAATGTAGTGTAGGTAATGATTTGTATGTTATGTTATGTATGTAATGTATTGTAATGTTACCTATGTAATGTAATGTACTGTAATGTTTTGTATGTAATGTAATGTATGTAATGTTATGTATGTAATGTTATGTAATGTAATGTAATGTACTGTAATGTAATGTAAGGTAATGTAAGGTAACGTAATGCAATGTAATGTAATGTATGTAATGTTCTGTATGTAATGTTATGTTGTGTTATGTAATGTAATGTAATGTAATGTAATGTAATGTAATGTATGCATGTATATATGTATATTGAATACATACGCTAGCTATCGCTGACTTGACCAAACCTTTGATGCAGTAGTCCATTGACATAGTCAGATACATGTTTGATGATATTTCAGTGCAAAACTCTACGCCACCTTTTGGCGCAAATTGGCTGGTGTCCTACTTGCTTTCACACACCAAGGTCACTTTGAATACAGCGGTCTACAAGAATGGGGAGATACGAAAGAAACGCTACATTGTCATTTGGTGTATTCAGTGCTGTGGTTGCCTTGTGCAGTCCTCGATGTCTCGAAACAATTCCGCCAACCACACCAAGAACATTTTACGAAACTCAGGTCTTATGCACATATCTGCGGACATGGTTTCTCTTCGACATCTCCCTGATTTCACTCGATGTCATGACCATCTTCACACTTAGTGGGAATCTGAGGAACTTAAGCAGCTCCATTTAAAGGCACCCAAGTCCACAGCAACTAGAAACCATGTTGAGCGATTTTGCCCATTGATCGTTGACCGTTGACCAAAAGGTTCACTCAGAGCAAACTACCTTTGCAACTATTCCATAGTTCACTTTCGCTAAGGGCTTCGAAACGGTCATTCGTGTCGAGTTGTCTTGCTGGGTGGAAGATGTGGAACAGTTCCTCCACTCGATACTGTACAGGTTTCGCCAGCTGACTTGCACAAGAGATGTGCAACGATCACCAAATGCTGCCCTCGTGGGTTGTTTTGACTTTCATCCCTCAGGCCGTGATAATACTTTCTCCGCGATACGATCAGCCTCTTAGACTGCAAGTCTGTTAAGCATTGTTAAGCTAGATCTCCCCCAGAATCCACAGAAAGTCTTCCTCTACGGAAGGTAAACATGGACCCACTTCTATTTGGCCAGGCATTTTCTTCGACAGTTTTTTGACTGTTCGCAAAATCGCATGCCAGAGCACATCCTTGCAGACCCAGCCTTCCGATTTCCATTTCAGACTCCTTGGAAGACTGCAAACCTAGGTTCTAGATGATCTGTGCTCACTAACCAACGATATTGAAGGTTTTCCTATAATGGTGTAGGACTTGACTTTAAAATCGGATTACCACAAAAAGTTAAGAAAACAGCTTAGCAGCAACTGCACCATTCTGCAGTTTCGAATTCTGCGGGGGTTGCGGCTACTTCGCTTGCTGAAGATGAGCAAGTTCAACATGCTTCTACAGGAGCCTTGGGGACCGCATTGCTGAGATTTCTTTTGGGCCAAGAATTCAAGATCTCTTGGGGAGCTGTACTATTGGATCATTGGATGAAACCATCTTTCCGCTGCCGGCCGCAGGAAGTGGCAGCATCAACTGGACGGCAATGGCTGATCCTGGTGATGGTCCCATGGAGAATATTTTCAGTCCTGGGGTATTTGGCCTATCAGAGCTTCAGAGTCATTCACCTTGTAGCAGGTTTCATGCACCTGGCTAGAGTTCGGACAGAGGGCATCAACGATGCAAAGTTGGGCAAGTGTTTGTTTCTCTCGGTGGAATCAATGAATTGTGGAATCACACCTTTGAATCCTGCAACGGGATGTAGATTGTTGGACAAGTTGAGTACCACATGTGCCGTGCCAGTACCAAGCTAGAGCTAGTTGCTCTTGCTCCAGTTGGAATCGAGGCTATTGCCAATACTTCTGGGCTGATCCTAGTAGTGGCGCACCTTCTCACGTGCTTTTGGTACTGGATTGGCCGTTCAACAGAGGCAGGGTGGGAGGCAAAAGACAAAGACGGGGAAATCATATCTTTGCACTCTTTGCTTGTTGTGAGCGACTAGAGTTATTATTCTTTTTGGAGTTTTGGCTTCAAGCCATTCAGTTCGTCATGTTTTGGGCCGCGTGTTCGCGTGTTCCTTTTCTGCAGGAGCAAGGCAAGAGAAGTTGGATAGCTGAATCTTTTGCTCTTGAAGTACCAGGACCGTCCCATTTACCTACCTGACCGAGACGCTGTCACTCCCCAGTCAAATTGGAGTTGGCAGAGAATACAGCCTCACAGCAGATGATCAGAACATATCAGAACCATAGGAAGCAATACCATCACAAAAATGTGGTTCTGTTTCAACACAGTTGACAAAGCATCAGTGGCAAAAGGGTGAGGGTAAGCGCAAGAATAATGCATGCAATCATGCTACTGAAACATATAATACATATATATATGTAGTGTTGTTGTGGAAAATATGTTTTCTCTCTCTTTCTGATACATTCAATTTTAAACAATTGAGAATTCAGATGCGAAGTTACGAAGTCATCAGCTCTTGGTTCTTCAAGAAACACCACCTTTGGTGTACATCTTGACTCTTGCCAGTGACCTGGCCAAAGTTCCAGACCTAGATGTGGACATTTGCCTTTGGGAAAAATGAGATGCTCAAGGAAATTTGGTCTGCTAGCAACAACTTGCTTCAAACTCTCAAACAGTTGAGGCCAAAGCTATACATATGTATGTAAGCATATATATATATGTATGTGTATATATATATAAACATATATATATATATGTTATGTATATATATATATGTAATATGTGTATTTATATATCTCGATGAAATACGCACACATATATGCATTATGTATGTGGGAAAACAACATCACTACGTAAGGTCATCCACAGTCAATCAACAGACAGCTTTGGAGTTATAGCTGCCTTCCATGCATCAATGGAGCCATTTTCCTTGGCAGGATGGATACAATATCTGCATTCCTTGCGGTTTATTCTGAACAATCCATCGCCGCCGCAAATAGCGCCAGAGAGTGGGACAGAGCGTTTGGTGGACGTCATCACGTATGTGCCTGTCTTAAGAGTGCGGAAAGGTGCTTTAGAGCAATGACCAAGGCAAGTGACAAGGATGACCAATAAACAATAAACGACCAAATGCCTGGCAAATTCAAAAATGGCAAAACATGTGTTCTTCTGGAAGACATGCAGATCCTCGAGGATGGAGGTCATAGGGCCAGCGGAGCAGAGTCTCGTCTCAGGTTTTTTGCCTGTTGGTACTTGGTTCTGCGATCTCAAAGATCTCGGGCACTATGGCAGAGCTTCGAGCCATGAACGAGGAGCGCTGATTCCATTGCTGAAGTGGCCTGTATCAATGCTGGAAGAGTAAAGCTGGAGTTGGGAAAACGCATAGAATCTCCAAGCAGAATGCTAATAAGATCTAAGAAGGAATGTCAGATGGTGCCTTTTGCGATTTTTTGTTGCCGCAGATCTGTGGTGAACTCGTTTGATATGGCGGAGCTTTTTTTTTTTAAACGGCACAGTTGAGTGTTGATGCGCTGAAGTCTTCAGCCTGGAGGAGCATTCGAGACAGCGCCGTGAGATTCGGATTTACCTCACCAACCAAAAAGCCTCCTTTGAACTTGTTTCAAGAATAATGAAGTTTGTTGATCCTTGGCAAGAATAGTTTTGAAGTCAGTAGCTTTCTTCATTTTCATCAAGCCCACCTGGGCGGAAGTATCATATTTTAGGCAGTCCCGACTGCCTGTGCTATTTCCTAAAGCAGTTTTTTGGGTAAACTTCAGTGCAGATGTGCAGCCAGTTCTCGGCCAGAAAAATTGGTAGCGTTTGATTGCCACGAAACTTCGTGTTACGGTGCAAGCCACTGGAACGACTCATTTTCGGTAAAAGTCTGGAGTGTCAGCTCTGGCTTTGGATAGTCTCTTTTAGAGACAAACATGCATGTCATCGTTGGTGTGCGAAATTGACTTTCCGGCTTCCAAATCAACAAATGTGTTCTACCTTTCTGGTAGATGGAGGTTTGCTTCTCAAGCGTTTTTCTGTGATGTTCCTTGCCTCCTCGCTTTCCTGAGGATTACAAGTTGGAGAAGATGGCAATGACAAACTTCGATGCGTCTTTGATCTCAACAACTCTACAAACAGAGCTCTATGTTGGCCAAAGGACCCCTGGCAAGACTCGTTGCAGAGGCTGATGAAGTCACTGCCCAGGTCTGTACTGCTTCGACACACCAGGCAAATAGCAAGTTGTTCATTGGGTGCGTTATTTCAGCTGATGAAAACATTGTTCAGCAAATGAGACGCAGAAAAGGGGTTGAGGGCTATCATATCCAGTACTGTTTATGTCATTGTCTATTTTGTTGATTGTAATGACCTTATCCTCTTTTTGTGACGCATCAAACGCAACTTTTGCAGGAATAGGTTCTTGAACCCCTTGCCAATTTTCACAATGACAGCAGAGGCGCTGCGAAGATTTGGTGAAATCAGGAATGGATATAACCCTGCAATGGCTATAACCCTGCAATGGCTACTCCCATGGGGAAGAAAAGGTGATCCACCAGCAACTTTAGGGATACGTATTTTCAGACAATAAGCATCACTAAGCTACTTGTATCAAGTTGGAATCCAATCTTGGGATTGCACCTTTGCACTCCATCGGAACCTTGTAGCCGGAATCCAAGTGCCATTAAGAATATTCCAATATTCAATATGTAGCAGGTATGGAAAACAAGCCAAAGAAGACTTGACATGCCACCGTGCCAGGCTTTCCCTGAAGTCTTTGCAGGCGCCTGTGCTGCTCTCCGCAAAGAGATCTATGAAACAGGCCATGCCCAACCGCGGGGATGAGAAAAGCCATTGACTTGACGACCTCAACAATTTTTAAGTTTTGCTCTTTATGTCTCTTACAGTGCACAGTCATGTGCAGTACACATTCATGTGCAGCTCTAACCATTTTGCTGAACCAAATCAAGGGGAAGAGGGCTGATACCAATCCAAAGAACACTCCTAGTGAGCCCACAGGAGAAGTGATCTTTGCACCCGGTGGATTTTCCGTTGCACTGCACATCACCACCACAGGACTGTTGCTGCAGGCAAATGGGGATGGGTCAAAACCTACAATAGGAGTTTGAGCAACTATATTGATGTTGAGAGGCCTTTGGTGTGATCCATGGTTTTGCATTGGTTCAGAGCTTGTGCTTACCTTTTGGGGACTTACAACTCTTGGATGGTGTTATTTTTTTTGAATACGAGTTTTGCGATCGGAGCGTGTTTTGTAGCACAAGTATTGTGCGTAGGAACATGAGAAGACTCGATGCCGAATGCCGAAGGTGTGAGGCTCGAGGAATTTCAAAGCAATCCGATAGATTGGGGGTCCCGCCATGGTGGTGTGACCGCACCCGGTACCCAGATGAACCAGCTCGGATTGCGAGGGAGATCATGCAGGGCGTCATCCATTTGGAACCACTCCAAAACGATCCTAGTCGAGGACTTGGAGGACCCTGTGGTCCTTATTGTCGCTAGCTCAGCCTACCTGAGGTGCCCGCATGTAGCTCCCATCCAGAAAACACAAGGAATCTGATAGATTGGGGGTCCTGCCATGGTGGCGTGACCACACTCAGTACCAAGATGAACCAGCTCGGACTGCGAGGGAGAGCACGCAGAGCGCCTTCCATCATCAACCACCGCAACACGATCCCACTCGAGGGGCTGGAGGACCCCATAGCCCCTAGTCGCTAACTCAGACGACCAGAGGCGCCAGACGCGGAGCTCCCATCCGGATCAGAGAACCTAAGGAATCTGATAGATTGGGGGTCCAGATCACGCAGGGCGTTTTCAGAGTGCCCAGCACACACACACATATACATGTACCAAGGACACTTCGTGCCCTCATTCCATTCGGGAGCTAGTCGCACAGCTGTGACAGGATAGCCCGCTGAAATCCCACATGCCTGGGCGCGAGCTGCCGAGTTAGGAGCTCACGCCCCCAAGGCTATCCATGGCCATCCTTCCTATGAGTGGGTCGTTTTCACAATCAAAAGCAGTTGAAACATTGATTTATTGTAGCTGACGAGTGCTGGACACATATTCATCATGGCGTTGCATGAGATTGGATTTTCTTTTCAGTGAAGGCGAATGGATTGCCAAGATGCGATCCAATCGGTGTCTGTTGACGCTCTGTACATCTATAGGAAGCGCATGTTGAGCGGCTTTGTATACAGATGAAATTAAAAGCCTTAAGCCAGGTAGCATTGATAGCCAGCCCCGTCCGGATTCTATGCACAACTAAGAATCTTCTGAAGGTTTCTCACCGCCTCTGGACCGCGGAAGCTGGAAGCTTACGTCCAACATGTCTCCGTTTCACTGAGGTTTCAATTTTTGGGGATCGTCCGGTGACTGGCATCAGGGCACAAGCACTGAGGGAAACCTTCTGGACACATTTCCATACTGATACATTTGAATCCGCTATGCCGACACCAGCATCATCGGCACACACCTACCCAAACAGGAATCCTGACGCTAGGCGCCCAGGCCCTTCGTAACTGTCGTGTGAACCTCAGTTGCAACATCCGACCCGACACTAAGACTTCGCCAGACGGTGATTCGGATCACAGTTTATCCAGAACCCAGGGTCGATGTTTCCAGAGAGGGTTTGTCATCACTGTCTAATTTTGACTGCGGGTGCGGTTGCACATGCGGTGTTTCGTTTCCTTCAATTTTGGGTCACATGTCGACGGGGGGGGCTCCCCGTCCTCTCATTTTGTTTCATTTATTCTACCCGTCTTACCGTATCCGACGAAACAGCCGGCCTGCCTAGGCTGAGCTCCAGTCGTAGCCTTAGACATCAACCGACCAGATCGACACGCACCGACACCATTGAGCAGAAAGCCGACGCGAGCATTCACTGACCTGGTCAGGAAACACTTTGTTTTGTTCAAGCTGCGAGCAGCAGCCGGGCCAATCAGCCCTCGATGTGGGCAGACATGTGAATGGGCGCGGTGCACGTCGCCCTTTCTGCACAGCCAGCTCGCGCAGAGGAGGCAGAGAGGCACGATCAGTGCTTCGACCCGTGCCTTCGTAGCATTCTGAGTGGTAGTTAGGGGAATCTCTGTCATTTGGGCGGTCCAGGTGGACAGGGGCACGCGTGTAGCGATTGATCCCGATCCAAACAGGACGTCCACGCACATGTTGTGAGCGAACAAATGCGGCGCATTGAACCACCTTCACAGCGTCAACCGTTGCGACGAATGTGACGGTCCATAAGACTCAAGTTTCCTTTTCTGACAGATAGATCTCTGTGATAGGGGATATATTACCCAAGGCATCTGGAGCGGCCGAGTGGCTGCCACGTTTGGTGGAGAAGGACCTGACAGACCCACCCACACTCCTTCAACATCCCTCAGTGGTTTTGGAGACTGGCATGCCGCCCGAGGTCTGGCGTGTCTTCCAGGACAGTCTCCGACAGCAGGATGGCGCAACGCCACAAAACGCCATCACAGATACGGACAGCCGGGCTGTCTCACACTGCACCACCTCGAGACCTGGTTGCGTTTCTGACAGCCATTCACGGACCACAGAAGGGGAGAGTGGCCAGCCAGCTGGACGCTTGCGACATCTCCGCCGTGGACACGACCAACATCCAGTTATGGACGCGTGATCGCCGCGCCACATACCACATGATTGTAGTGGGCAGTCAGTTTCTCACGACCACCGATGAACTGTGGGCCACTTCTCGGTCACATATACAGCTCGATGGCTCTCGGAACGTAGTGACCTGGACACTCCCCACTGGACCGCCGGAGACACAGGCAACCACCGTTGACGTGTCCTTGGGGTGCAGATGCCCAATCATGGGACAGCGGCTGTGCCCTTACCACAACATGGTGGAGCTGCTGAACCTCACAGATTCGAAAGGAGAGACAGATCGGCCATTCGCCCACATGGGGGCCCAAAACCCCGCCGACCTCCTCAAGAACATCGCCAACATGTTGGAGAGTTCCAGGACCTCAGAGCAGCCAGTCCAGACGGCGCCACCTTCAGGTTGTCTCCGCGCCACAGGCGCACGTTTCTTGAGACGACTAGGTCTCAGCCCAACACTCATCACACAACTCGCTCGTTGGGACAGTGACACGATCTTGGGCGCCTTGGATTGCATCCAGCTTAGCACCGATGTCATCCAGCAGAGGACTGGCGACTCTCCGGGTGACAGCGATGCAGAGATAGAGGCCCTGAAAGCCGGCATCCAGGCTGATATCTTGTCAATGGCACACCATTGCCATCAAATGATCCGAGAGACCACAGCCCTCAACCGGGCCTGGTTGGCAACCGCAGAAGAGAAGCCGTAGCGACCTTGAGCACCTGGAAAGTCAGATCCACACAGAGCGCGAGACCGCGACAAGTCAAAAAAGGGGAACTGCGCCAAGTCGGTGACACCTATAGGAATTTTATTTGTTTCTGCACTAACGCCAAGATCTTTTAGAACTCACACGGTTGCTCTTGAGCGCAAGAGCCCGGGCAGTTAGAGCTGGGCTACTCAGCATGCAGATCATGCATCATTTGGTCAGATCCTCACTGCATGTTCGATGTGAGTCCGAAGCTGATCAACCATCAGTTTGGTTTTGTTTCCTTTCTGCTGCAGGTTGCCAGTTGGATTCCGACCGAATCTGCTGCGGCATCACATGTTCTGCTACACACTTTAGTTATGTTTGTGCACACCTGAGACACCTGTTTCTTTTGGTTAGGGTGCCGCCCTCACGCGACAGGGCAAAATTCTTTTTGTATCACAGAGGCCAGGTTTGTTGTGTGTTTTAAACATAACCGGCTCCCCCAGCCGAGCCAGGTGGGGGATGCCGTACTAGTCTATTTTCCCTGACGGCAAGTGACCGTGTCTGTCACTCAATGTCCAGCGACGCACGCCCAGCGTCTGGCTCAGAAACACTCACTAAGTTGTCCCTGCAGGACACTGTGGTGAGCCATGACACCCGTCAGCCCTGAACTCCAGAAGCTGGCTGCTGAGGCTGGTGTGGATCACTCCGTGTTGCAGTACTTGCAGGCGCGAGGCATCGTGTCAATGGGGATCCTGGGGGCCCTGGCCAAATCCTTCGATGAGATTGATGCAGCAGTGGTCCAGCCGTTCATCGCTGGCCACAATATAGCCGGTGTGACGCACCAGGCTGCACCTGACACAGAACCCGTGGTGACCGCATCAATCAGGTATCTATGGAAGAAGAGCTGGACGCAGCTCAACACCGTCCAACTTGTCAAGACCACGCCCATCATAGTGAGCCAAGCCCCATCGGCTGCCACAGCGCCCATGGAAATCCCAGCTGAAGAACTTCAAGAACTCGTTCAGCATTATGAGAACCAGATGATTGACGGAGAGAAGCGCTACTTCCCCATCAAGATGCTGCTCGGCGCAGAAAAAGTGATCGCCAGGGCTTGGCACGAGAATCGCACAGCCTCACAGACCCCCTTGCTGCTCCCAGAAATCCTAGTCCTGCGTCATTTCGACGCATCAGGCGGCACCAATTCGCTCGCAATCTCCTCGACAGAAGATCAGCAGAAATGGTCGCCCAAGGGCGTCCTCAGCATCCTCGATGCCTTGGATGCAGTCATGTGGTGCTGGCTCCTGATCCGCATCGGGAAAGAGCCACACATTCTGGAATACATCCAGTGGTGGCGCCAATTGGTACGCGGCAAGTCCGCCAAGCTGGAACAGATCAAAAGTTACTGGGTGGACTGCGGATGGAAACTCGCCCTCGAGCTTCGCCACGGCCGCAACTTCCGGGAGATCACCCAGGAACTGATGCTGGACCAACACGGGCTCCAGACAGCGCTGCAGAAAGACCCTCCCATCATGCCAAAAGCCCGTCCAGCACAGCCGTCAGCGCCAAAAGCGCCGGGGAATACACAAGAGACGGGCCACAACACACAGGGACAGAAGCGCTGGCGATCACAAGATCACAGCTGGCACTATCCCCAGAAGAAGTAGGCCCAGAAACCTAGCTCCAGACGTGCTGACATGAATTGGCCCAGCATTCGCGAGGTCTGACGAGTCAGCCTACAGAAGGCACACAAAGTGCCTGCATCATTTCAACAGCACAGGAACCGACGGAACCGCCCGCCGGACGAACCAAAGCGGTTGCGGCCTGGAGACTTCCACCCAGAGATCAATGCATGGTATCTCAGTCAGAGTGTGTTCGCAACTTCATCAACAGTTTGTTGCTTTCATGCTGCTCACACGACGCACTTGCTGGAGGACATCACAAGCATTTGGCGTCCGTTGGCCTTTTGGTTTGACTAGCGTCCGCTTATGGACCTTGAAGATGGTTTGGACAGGTCTAGTTTGTGCACTATTGACACATCAGGTTTCCATCAGACTGTTGCCATTGATGAGCGACCCATAAGAAACGGATCGGACGTTTAAGTCGGTTTCCCAAATAACTGCATTTCCTAGCCATGCCCGTCCGGGATGGTGACGTCACCCAGCCGAGCCAGGTGGGGACCCAGGGTTTCCTTGTTTGTCATCCTGTGGAAATTGCCAGATGCCGGCAGTGAGGGCCCATCCTCGGGAAGACACCACAGTACACATCACTGACCTCCAGCATTGGGTCTCTAATGATTGGGGATCTCACACAGGGATCTGATGAATAAGTGTCTTAGTCAGACACACAGCCACGTGATCTACCTGGCAGGCACCGTTTCCCAGCCGAGCCAGGTGGGGACTCTTGAGCGTCACTCGAATAGCAGTGACACCCTTGCACACTGCCTGACCTGTGTGCAACCATCCAGTCACAACTGACTGGTGCATAATATTGGTTCCATAGGTTTCTGAGTCTCGCTTGCGCCAGGAAGATTTCCCAGCCGAGCCAGGTGGGGAACCCTGTGCATTTCATGTCTTCACTAAAGTAGTTGCTAGATCACTGCTCACCGAGCGACCTCTGCTGACGCGGGCATTCGGTCTGGGCTCGAATTTTTCCTTTACGTTTCTCTGTTTCCCCTCCCTCAGGACATGTTTCCCAGCCGAGCCAGGTGGGGAACCCAGGGCATCTCACTAATAGTGGCCATGGCACCGTTGATGAAGTGAGTAGGCCCTCACCATCCTGTCACAAATGACTGGTGCATCAGGTGAAGGACCTGATTTCTGCGTATTCAGTATCATATGAAACCAGCAGACATCGTGTTGACGTGACACTCACGCCACAGGATATATGGTTTCCCAGCCGAGCCAGGTGGGAACCCAAGGCCATTCATACGAACACGTGGTGGACAGTGCCAAACACTGGTCCTCCCACGTAGTTTCACACTAGGCAGTGGTCAACACCGACTACACGTCGGAACCGTCTACATGCCCTTCATGTTGCAGCCAAACCAACACTAGTGCCCTTGATTACAGAGTGTCAAACGTTTCAACTCGCAGGAACCTTCTCCAGATGCGCCAGGTGGGGCACCTAGGGCCCTTCGCGGTGCGCACAGAAATTGATCGACACCACTGCGAAGTTCACAGAGACTTCGAAGTGTTACAGACCTTGTATTAGCCCACCGGTACGTGTCCGATGGCATGCGTTGGTTTCCCCCCCTTGGTTCACGGTTGGTTTGTGATCCATCAAGCAGTCGGACCACAACTGCCACTTTTGCTTCTTTGGAAGAAATGTCAATCAATTTATCAACACTTGTTCCCAACTGTGCCAAGTCGAATATGTTGGGTTGCATTGACCCATCTGTGGTCCCTGACAACCCATTCAAGTCACTGCGACTGCTCAACCCAGGCACATCCGGAAGGGCTGCGAGACTATACACATGTTGGCCTTTGGGTGCTCATTGGCCACGCAACGTCACATCACGAGGAGTGGGCTGCACCAGAGTGGCCAAAACATGGGTCTAGCCAACTGAATATGGGCAGTGCAGCCACAGCCGCATCATCCCTGTGGCTACCTGATAGTGGGAATCCTGGGGTCCCCACCACCTGATCTAGATTGTGAGCGGGGAACCGCATCGACATGACGTCGCTGGAGTAGCAGAACCCAACGCGAATTTCTGGAAGACCACACAAGATCTGCCACAGTCCCAACAGTCCTCTAGCGCCTCACATTGAATCCGCACGCACAGCGACTCCAAGGTGGAAAAGCTGATGCTGACCATCATCCCACACACACCCCCCTGCACGCATTGCCTTTTGGATGTGACGAGTATTTCTTTGCTGCACAGTGCGAAAATATGGCCGCCACGAGTCGCACTACTATGGGTTGGATTTGACCAAAACAGCATCAACAGGCTGTTCTGGGTGCGACCGACAGGCAGCGAATCATCCAAAAGGAAGGCCTAGTGCAGACGATCAGTGTGGACGGAATGAGAGTGAGAGGCTGAAATGTTCGTCCACACACGGGGACGCACACAAACACGCAAAAAGAAGCGGCAGCTTCGACCTGGAAAACTCAAAACATGCTCATGACTTCTGAACACAGTTTCTGGGGGGAACCCATGATAATATGAAAGTCACTGGTTTAGAATAAAAGGAACATGATTTGATGCAATATTAATATGATGAATGATGCATTACTTTGCATACTCAGATTGACATGCACAAGAGATCCTCAATTCCTCAATCAAAGAACCAGCACCAAGACAGATACTCATATAATCATCTCATATTTACTATATTATATACAGTCAAAATCCAAACACAAGACTTGAGGATCTTCAAGGTTGGTCATGGTCACTGCTTCCTCGGCGAGGACAGTACAGGTTCCAAGACTACGACACAACTCAATCAACCGTTGAAGGCACTATCAGAGCTTCAGGATGTTTGTCGGAGCGCGTTTTGAGTTTAACTTTTATTTTCACCTTGGCTTGGCCGCCAATCTGTTCTCACATGCGCCTAAAAATGTCCCAAACATTCCCAAACTACAATCATGAAGTCACAGGTCCCATGATCAATCATGATCAACTCAAGTTTCCCAAAATGTATCGATATCTATTCCAGATATTTCCAGATTGTGATACTTGGTGATACTTGATGGATGCCACCAGATCACGATTCTTCAGCTCCATGCTGGGACGTATCATGACCACACCGTTCAGCATCGGCCAGGCATTCAATGGTTTGAAGAGCTGAGTCTTTATGCTGAACAGCTGCTGTCACTGGGAAGATGATTCGGCAAGGCTTTGGCAATACTTTTTGGAGGAATGAATTGCGGAACCTCTTCATATCAACATCCTGTCAGAGACGATGAGTTAGCGGACCCTTTTCAAAGGCCATGCTTGAGACGTTGCCCTTCTCTTTTATGCAAACAACTTGATGTTTTTTCTCTTAATTCGAGCCTTACACGTAGAGTGTTGCACGGGGTACTCGTGTTTTGCTATATGCAATGCTTCCATTTGGCAACAGCAATTGCCAGATCGATACCTGGCCAAGCAAAGGCACCGAACAAACCTCTGTGCAAAGACCTTTGCAGAACTGTTCACTCTGGCTGGAACTGACTTAGCTGAATGCATTCGAAAGTCTCCAGGCCTTGGAGTTGACCGAAGGACAGCATATGGTTTCAGAATGCTTGAGATATGACATGTTTTTTCTGCGATTCTATCAGTTGTTCGTAGTCTCATGGGCCTGGGCGTGCCTGTTTGATAGAGATAAGTATGTCCCCGGCTGCACCATTGTTGTTGTTCTCCTGGTTCCACATGCTTGCTTCTCCTCATGAACAGCGTGATGTTGGCATCCCGAGATCTCAAAGTTGCCTTCTGCAGGTTGCACCCGCATGTTCTGCGAGTATGCCAAAGAGTTTGTGGCAGCCATGCAGAAAGTTGGCGGAGAGATGGACCACGAGGACCAATGATGCAGTGTTTGAGTCGTTCATTGTAGACTTATTGAACAGAAGTGTGTTTGCCACAAGGAATCACCCCACTGCAATGCCAGCGCTTTCAACCTGAAGAACCGCATAATCTTTTCATTATATAGAGGAATTGGTTTCACAGCTGTCTCAACCTTTGAGCCTGTGAATATGTCTAGGATCAAGTGGAGTTGGCGGTAAAATGCTGCAAGCAGAATCACATCTACCAGCTTCTCTATCCTGACCCCGCGTGTCTTTGCAGCAGGGAAATCTGACTGCTTGAATCTGCTTGGAGGCAAACAGACGCGGTATGGCACTCATCCAGGTTTTCAGAATATTTTGAATGAGAAGACAAGATAGAGAAGTGACCGGATGAAGATAAGAGCATGTCCAGGTGCTACTGGCTTTCCGGCACCGCTTTAAGGAATTGTTTAGCAACTCCCAGCCGCCGGAAGGGAGAGGGGGTTGAAAGAAGGTAGTACATCTACTGTACTGGTAACTAACTAGCAACTAACTAGTAATATCATTCAATGTATGATATTTTCGATGGAGATGAGAAGCCTTGCGCGCTCCAAGAATGCTGCTGGAGAACATCCAAATTTTCGAACAAGATGATGAGAATCTCTCAGAAGGACTCTTGGCAGCGAGAAGGGCCGTTCTCCCAGAATGAGATGGAGAAAACATGCAGGAAAGCCCTGATTTTCATGGGAGGAACCATGGTTTCCGGTAGCTTTTCCGTGAAACCAAGCCAATAATTTTCAGCCAAACGTGCCAAAAAAGGGTCTCATTTTCCCAAAGCAGCAGAGTCACAAGCTTGTTGGCCAAGAAAGAAAACATGATTGGGCACATGTTTGTGGCGCTCTCCATTCAGCTACTTTCGGATTTTCCAATTCTCCCGCTATAGGGTTGAGGTAGTCATCGTCTTTGGCAGAGGAAAGCCTCAAAAGTAGTTCTTCAATGCCAAAGAGGCAGGTCGGCCTGTTGACGCCAGGTTCATACGAGGAAGACTCCAACCCCAAAGAGATGGAAAATTCTGGTGGATCCTCCAGTTCAAGGCGAGACATGCAACAGTATCAGCATATATCAGCACCTCAAACAACAAAAATATCGTAGAAATGAGTCCATGATGGTTGGTGTATGGTACAGATATGTATCTTTCAGTTTAAAGTGCAATCTGCAGCAATTTTCGAACTCGCTCTCGGTTGGTTCAGCGTGCTCAAAAGCTGACAGCAACGATGATTCACCAGTTTTCCGCATTTGTTGACAAGGAAAAAGGCGTCGCAGTCGAGCTTACCATTTGGAAAGATCCTATCTCATGGAGGTTCCGACCAAGACCCCAGCGAGGACAAGGACAATGACAAGGAGACCGATTCTCATGAGTTTTCCATTGGTCACATTTGCTTTGGGTTTTGCACAGTGGCTGCATGCTTGGTCGAAACCTCCAAGTCTACGCAATGCGGGAGTTTCTGTTCAGCCATACCTCGGAGAATGCAGGTTGCTTTTAGACTTGGATTGATCTACCCCCAAAAACCTTGCTCCTTAGAGGAAACCATATAGAAAAAGTGCAGGAAGGGGCTTAGTGTAGTTGTATGAGACATCAGTGTATCATGTGGTGTTGGATATCCGCACAAACGGAGAAACACATGTATCATACACAGCACTTTTTATTTTAAAAGCTCCTTTGCATGTCCTGTCTTCCTTTTACCATTTGGTCGGCTTGTGCAGATGGCATCTCGACCCAGCGCGAACAGCTTGTTGGCTCCACGTCGGGTCAACACCAATTGGTCATTGAAACCCATGAGACGCTTGTCAGTCACCACTTCAAAGGGAAATTTCCAGCTGTGTCAATTTTTTATGGACATGGACTTGGACGGATTCCTGACATGTTTTGAAATTGAGAGATTGCTGAGCAATGCCTTGGCCATCCGAGTTGGGCTTCGAAAAAACATTTCGCTGGTTTTCCCAGGACATCTCTCAATGATCAGCATGAAAAAGTTGTCGGTGGACCTAATTAGCTTTCTCGAGACACTGGATCGAAAACCCATCAAGGCAGCAAGACATGTTCTTGGGAAGTGATATGTTGAGATGCTTTTGCTTCTTCTTGCATAGAAAATCATGTTCTACCGATAGCATGTTCTTCACTGTCGCTACATCTGAAGTCTGGAAATCAAGCTGCTTCCAGTGAACATGCTCGGGAGGAATTGCCTGAAAGATCAGCACACATCTTTGCTTCGAGGAACATTGAGACTATATAAAAGAACAATTAGACGCAGCAGCCTAATGCCACTACCAGTAGCACTCAACAGATCTTTCTTAACACCATCAGCTCGGCATTTGTTTCTTCCTTGGTTGCTCGTGCTGAATTCTCATCTTCATCAGCAGACATTAGCTGAAATCTTTGCTGATCTTGCAACGACGGTTCTATTTGGACGACAGGGGGATGAACTGCCGGGAGTGTTGCAGAAGCTCATTCCAGAACTGAATGCAGACGCAGGCCTGGGAACGACTCCGCACTGTTTCAAGATCCCGACTGAGAGTCGGGGCAGATGGGGTCCTGTAGGCACCCACGTGGTCTTCAAGCAGCAAGGGGAGCGCGACAGAGCAGAGTCAAGCTGCATCAGTCTTTTGTCGCTAGTGACTGGGCTTAACGACCTGGGCCGTGCAGTTACTTCATGGCCACTTTTGCCGCTTTTGCCATGGTTCAATGACAAAATCGATACATATCAATCAAGTAGAGATTGAACAGAAATCATGATGAGAACGCTTGCCAATCATCCAAGTAATGATTCTTTGTCTTTTTCATCTCAGCAGCTGCGAACCCCCGCAGCCTTGGTCCGGCCCAGATCACTGGGAGCTATGAGATCTTTACGAAGCCTCAAGCTCCAGCAAATCGCTTGCGGCGGGAGCAGTGGTACCAGTTGCGGGACATCATCCGATGGATTCAGCCAACCCATGCGACTGGTCTTGGGACAGATGTCTGTTTGCCACTGATTTAAGCCCTCCATTGAACAAAAAAACAATTACTTTACTTCGTGTGATCCCCACCATGACATTTATAGATTTTCTTACTGGCAAATCTTCTGGCATTCTATCTGATATATCTTCTGGCATTCTATCTGGCATATCTTCTGGCATTCTATCTGGCATATCTTCTGGCATTCTATCTGGCATATCTTCTGGCATACTAAATCTTTGGCATTCTATCTGGCATCTTCTCTTCTGGCATTCTATCTGACATATCTTCTGGCATTCTATCTGACATATCTTCTGGCATTTATCTGGCAGTCTATCTGGCATATCTTCTGGCATTCTGGCATATATTTGGCATTCTATCTGGCATATCTTCTGGCATTATTATCTGACATATCTTTGGCATTCTATCTGGCATTCTATCTGGCATATCTTCTGGCATTCTATCTGGCATATCTTCTGGCATTATTCTGACATATCTTCTGGCATTCTATCTGGCATTCTATCTGGCATATCTTCTGGCATTCTATCTGGCATTCTATCTGGCATATCTTCTGGCATGTATTCTGACATATCTTCTGGCATTGTATCTGGCATTCTGTCTGGCATATCTTCTGGCATTCTATCTGACATATCTTCTGGCATTCTATCTGGCATATCTTCTGACATATCTTCTGGCATTCTATCTGACATTCTATCTGGCATATCTTCTGGCATTCTATCTGGCATTAATGCTCCAACAAATGTTCCGATGTCACATATCCACCATGCCACCATAGCTGTGATACACAACAGAAACCCTGTGTGATGTTGACTGTCTCAAGCATCAATCCAGCATGAGATCACTTCAAGTAATTTGTAGTAACTTGCTGTAAGATGTTGCCTGTCTCAAGCGTCTTTGCAAACAGCTCCAAAGGTACAGAAGTGGAAATGTCTCTGTCCACCCCAGTGACTCTGTCATCTGTTCAAACTGATTGCTTCAAACTTTGCCACCTGCAAAGTAAGAAGTGGCATTGCCCCGGTCACTCTACCACACACGCGCGAGTTTGCAAGTGATATATAACATACTTGTCTGACATTCTTTCTAACTTTCTTCTGCACATTCTTTGTCCCATATCTTCCTACATGAGGTCCGGCAGGGAACACTTGGCGTGGATACTCGCGGTTGAGGTCCGGCAGGGAACACTGGGCGTGGATGGTCGTGGTTGAGGTCCGGCAGGGAACACTGGGCGGGGATGGTCGTGGTTGAGGTCCGGCAGGGAACACTGGGCGTGGATGGTCGTGGTTGAGGTCCGACAGAGAACACTGTGCGTCGAGGGTCGCGGTTGAGCAGGAGGAGGAGGAGAGGAGAGGAGGAGAGGAGCAGGCAACTGACATAAAATCTAACAACCCTCACCTGGCAGGTGGGGAAAAAGGTCCTGTAAATGCTGATAGATGCTGTGTCAAAACGGCCAATCTAATTTTTGCCCAAAGGACACCATTGCTTGAGCTTGGTACCCACTTTTTGGGGTCATCTCGAGTTCGCAAGGATGAAAGTGCTAGGAACGCATTTTCTTGATTTGCTGCTAGTTTTTTTTAAAAAACCCCACCTCCACATTGCTATCAAACTGTTATACTTTGAATAAACTTTCTTGTGTTCCCACGAAGTTGTTTTGATTTAAGTCTTGATTCATCAAATGTATCTTTTCAAAGGCTGTCATCAGCTGTGAGGCACAACTGCATGCAGTCATGATACTGCTTTCGATCCGTGCTTTGGGCAAGTCCAAAGAGCTTGTAAACCAGCTGCCCAAAGATAAAAGGCCAAGCATTTGAGAGAGTGTGGTATTGTGTGGTATTGTGTGGTGGTTTTGACAGGTGGACGTTGTGGCACTGTTTGGCTCGATGTTGCATGATGTATCGAGGATGTATCACTTTTGGCTAGCGCTTTCTCCTATTTGACTATCTACAGTATCCGATGCATTTGTTCATTTTACTTCTTGCAAGCCTGAAACAACATGTTTGCCAGGTAGAGGCACTTGTATTGTTTGGGTCTCCTCAATTCGCTTGCTGCTTTCTTGTAGACTCAGTAGACCTTCAAGTCACATGGCAGTGAGGCAAGGTAGGGAATCCTCTCTTCCAATATGCTTTCGTTTTGTAAACATGTACTAGGCTCTACTAGGCTCTACTAGGCCAGCGTCACCGTATCATCATTTGGAATTAGAGGACATCTGCAGGCGCCCGGAGCGAGCAGTTCTCTACATTATGGAGAATCACAAGAACGCAGCTTGGAGTCTTCAATTGCCATGTCATGACCAGATTTGGAAACAAGGTGAAATCGAACCCAGCGGCTGGGATAGCTGAGCTGAGCTTGCGAGTTGCAGGTCGTACCGTCTTCAGATTGGCTCTCGGAAGATGGCTCCCGAGCAATTCGGAAGGCAGGGCATGGCATGTTCAGCTGAAGACAGCACCGATGTAGCCTCAGACGGATTCAGGTGGCACGATCGAAGCAGAAACACAACTTCTTTTCGACACATTCTCAACGATGCACTCTGCGCTTTTTCTGTTGCAGAACGGCCTTCACAGATTGTGGCAGACAAGATGATGGTCCAACTAAACCGAGAGAGAGAGAGAGGGAGGGAGAGAGAGAGAGAGAGAGAGGGAGGGAGTGAGAGACATAAAAGAAGAGGCAACTCGACAGCAGATTGACTTTGAAGAGTAAAATGCAGGCGCTGATGGTGCACGAAACCTTCAACCTGGCCCAAATGCTCTTAGCTCTGCGTGTCCATTTGGGAAGCTGACATTTTCTGATGGCGTCTCATGTTTTGCTTCCACATGCCTTGCTCTTGCTGGCCTTGCTGGCCTTGCTGGCCTTGCCCCAGGTTGCAAGGAGAAAATGTCCCAGGCAACGTGGCCCAGTTACAAGAGCTGGTCCTTTCCTATGGCACTGAGGGCGAGGAGGTGCCCGCCCGAGTTCCTCCTTTTTCAGGATGTCCTGTATTGGAATGATCTTAGGAAAGAATTGGAATGTTTCGGATGTTTCCAAGAGTTCTCAAAAAAGGTTTCCAATGGTTTCCTCCTTTCAGGGAGACAAAATGTCATCTGGCAAACATTTGGCAAACATTGGCAAACTTGCAAACGTGAGGTCTTTCACTTCTACATCCTCTTCTTGCTTGGCTTTATGAGTGGCTTGGCCGCGGGTCAGGGCTCTCGCTTCATGAGCCTTGGCGGCAAAGGAGCAGTGCCTGCTTATGCGCTCACATATCTAATCTATTCTCTTCTTTTCTTATCTTCCCTTTCTTCCGGTTTTTTGTTTGTTTGTTTGTTTGTTTGTTTGCTTGTTTGTTTGTTTGTTTGTATGTGTAGAACAAATCGTTTCCTTTTCCCATTTGCTGCTTTCTCTTTTTCTTTCTTCTGCGACTTCCCCGCCTTTGGCTCCATCTCGCCCCCTTTGATTCCATCCTTGCCTTGTGCTCTGCAGCCCGTTGTTCAGTGGGGTGAGCCTGCAACACTCTGCCGACTTGCCCAGGTTTTCAAGGGGTAGGGTAGGATTGTGTTTGATAAACCAAGAGGTGCCAATCTTGCCTGAGATCAGAACTCAATTGTCTGACCCTTCTTTGACAGAGACAGCTGTGCATAGGAACGAATACATGTGATTTATGGCTACTTGCGAGCTCGGTAAATGCATGCTCCTGTGCATATTGCATTCGAACGCAGGGTGCAGTGGCACATGGACATGCACTGAGACTCACACCCACATTCAGATAGAGATTGATTGATTGCCATTTGTTGAACATATTCACTCTATACTTGGCAGCTTTACCAGACGAGAAGTGTATAGCTGATTGCTTTTTTGCTTTCCCCGCTCTTAGGAATGCCACCAACGCACCAGCAGTCATATCTGGAGTGATGATGCTGCAGCAACTGCTTCATGCTACTCCTCGAGGTATCTATTGGGGCTTTATTTCTGCCAGGGTAATCTGGATGCAACGATCAAACAACTGGTGCTGCGGGGGTTTGAGGGTCGACCGACTCGACTAAGACTTTAAGACTAAGCGAGTTCCGATCCGGAGAGCCACCCAAAAGTCGGATTCGAGTCGGTTTCGGGTTTCGGGTTTCGGGTTTCGGGTTTCGGGTTTCGTCGATTGAAACCCACGCTGTTTTCGGGTTTCGGGTGTCGGTTTCGGGTTTCGGGTTTCGGGTTTCGATCGGCCCTGGGGAAGTTAAGTCTTCAGAGTCGGTTTCGGGTTTCGGGTTTCGATCGGTCCTGGGGAAGGTAAGTCTTCAGAGTCGGTTTCCGGTTTCGGGTTTTCGGGTTTCGATCGGCCCTGAAGTTAAGTCTTCAGAGTCGGTTTCGGGTTTCGGGTTTCGAATTTCGGGTTTCGGGTTTCGGGTTTCGATCGGTCCTGGGGAAGGTAAGTCTTCAGAGTCGGTTTCGGGTTTCGGGTTTCGGGTTTCGATCGGTCCTCTTCAGAGTCGGTTTCGGGTTTCGGGTTTCGGGTTTCGCAGTTCGAAACCAACTTTAATAGTCGGTTTCGGGTTTCGGGTTTCGGGTTTCGGGTTTCGGGTTTCGCTGGTCGAAACCAACTCTGCAGACCTCTCTCCGGATCACGTCTCGACTAAGGCCACTGCGTTGCGACTGCCACAGCAAACTGCGGAGGATTTGGCACTGATGCGTTTGGCATGTCTCAGCCGTGTTCAGGCTGGAAAGGGCAGCTTGGGATTCACCACTGAATCTAGGCATGGAGGATCTGGATGAGATACTGTATGCACAGTAAAAAAACGGTTTGATTAAGTTTGATTCTTCAAAGCTACAGTTTACGATTTGGTTTGCGATTGTTTGCGGCTTGTTGTCACTTGATTCCGTTTTTTCCTAGCTTTAGTCTTGCGATCAAAGCTATTCTGAGAGGAAAGTGCCAAGGCCTATAAACAACGTGGTAATGAGTCCTTGACACTAGCGTGATTAAGCAAAGCTTGCTGGACTGACCACTGCTTTAGGTACTCAAATGCCACTCAGCATGGTTCATAGATGTTCATAGTATTTTCCTGCTTGTTTCAGAATGTTTTCAATGGTCATGTGCCTCTCATATGCAGTCAGCCTTCCGTATCCAAAGACTTCCCTATTGGCACATGTCATTCCTGGCAGGATGTCAAAGGCTACAAGGAGTTACGGCGAGCGTGGGACTCCTTGGGTACCTTGGAGTGACCTTTGCCATAATAGCATCCAGTGGAGTAGCAGGGTTGCGACGAAGCTCTCAATGTCCCATGTGTGTATGTGTATGTAGAACATCTGAATAGATGTAAAACCTCTACTTAAGCAGGGGGCCGCTGGGGAACATTGCAGTCAGCGGCCAACGAAGACGCTGCAATGTTCCTGTGAAAACGCACCTGCAATTTTCCAGTTTTTCAATGGCAACCGGCTAAGCCAAGAACCGGCATGTCGTTTTCAAACAATTTTCAAACCAAACTTGATGTCAGGGAGGGAACGATTTGCATCTAGCAAGGACGTGGAAGTACAAACTTCGAGATTCTTCTCTGATCTTGTCTTCATACTTTCCTGTCAGGTTTAATGGAGTGTTTTTGCACGTAAGATGCATTCCACATCAGAATTCGCAAAGATTGTTCTGAGCAAGTGTGTGATTCATGCTGGATTCGTCAAGGTGGCATGAACCCTTCGGGGAATGCTTTTCTAAGCAAAATGTGGATGCAACGGCCCGATGTCTGAATTTACACATTTTAAGCTAGTAATTCGTTTAAGTAAAGTGAAACAGCCGTTCACCTTTCAGGTTTCACTCTGTCGGTCGTCTTTTGCTTAAACAGTCTGCCGCTGTGACTGGCCTCACCGTTCTTGTCAGACTTCAAAGGGTTTGTAGATTGAAGCCGCGACAACAATTTCCTTGTTTAGCAATGCTCGAGAGACAGACTGATTTCATTTGTCACATGTCATGTTTTGGCCAGGCAATAGGACATGCTTTACAGGTGTGGTCACTTTCTTTTGGTTACTCTGGTGAGGTTCAATTGTGCACGTAATTCAAGGGTTGACGACGTAAGCTGTCCATGGAGTTGACTTGAATACCGAGGGCCTTGAGCCTTATCACGACTCTTGCATGGATTGTGGATGCATCATGTCATTAACTAGTCCCGCATGGGTCCCCTATTTCGTGTGTTCTCCTCTCTACAGGTAGGTTGGGTTCTGCACGTGCTTAGGTAGGCGTAGGTTTCGCTGTGGTAGGTTGGTTTAGGCGCTTCCGTCCTTCCCCCCCCTCCGCTGGTCTTGTTCTGTGTCCGTCGGCCTCCGCTTTTCTTTTCCCTTGCCCTTTCAGGGTTTGCCCGCTTTGGGCCAGGTTTGCCTGTGTTGGTGTTTGCTCCTTCCCTCTTCTTTTGCGTTCCCCTCTTCGCGTCCTGGCTAAGTATTTTTCATCTCATTTTCATCTTCACCTCATTTTCATTTCCTTTCAATTTCATTTTCACTTAATTTTCCCACCCTGCCGCGGGAGGGTGTGTGTGTGGAACATCTGAATAGATGTAAAACCTCTACTTGAGCAGGGGGTCGCTGGGGAACATTGCAGTCAGCGGCCAACGAAGACGCTGCAATGTTCCTGTGAAAACGTACCTGCAATTTTCCAGTTTTTCAATGGCAACCGGCTAAGCCAAGAACCGGCATGTCGTTTTCAAACAATTTTCAAACCAAACTTGATGTCAGGGAGGGAACGATTTGCATCTAGCAAGGACGTGGAAGTACAAACTTCGAGATTCTTCTCTGATCTTGTCTTCATACTTTCCTGTCAGGTTTAATGGAGTGTTTTTGCACGTAAGATGCATTCCACATCAGAATTCGCAAAGATTGTTCTGAGCAAGTGTGTGTGTGTGTGCCTCCACGGCTTTCCCTAGGAAGAACTAGTGCAAACCGTTCGGAAGCGTTTCCGTCAACGCGCAATGCATCCTGTAAGCCAGAATTCAACTTTGAACCAATTTCCTAGTCAAAATGTTTCATTGAGAAGGCAGCAAGAAGATGCCAAACCTTTCGCGAACAAGAAAAACACAGTTTGACTCGGGGTGGATGATTGATGAACGATGAGGATTCGTTGCCCTGATGTCACTGTCGCCACTATTCACTGCCGCAGACTTTCAGGTTCTAGAGAGCAAGCAGTTTTGGTCGATCATTTCCTATGTGATGGCCTGGAGGAGAGAGGGGAAGGCCACCAACTAGATTGCAACTGGATCCAGCGCCATGAAGTCCAAGACTATATATATAATATATAATATATATAATATATATAATATATATATAATATATATAATATATATAATATATATGATATATATATAATATATATATATATATCCAAGTCAACTTGAGTTCAGATACAGAGGAAAACTGCTCTGCGGAAAAACTATTTACACCTCTGGCCACCTGTGGGTTGAAAATTGTGAGGATCGTGCCCTGGTGCTCGAATTCTTGCCAGCATGCATGGCAAATGCAAAGACCAACAGCCTTGTGGGACTGACAATCCTGTTGGAGGTTCTTGGAGCCTGGTTGGACCGTTTTGATTCGTTTTGGACCTATGTTGCAGTATGGGCCAATTGCATCTAATTGCATCTTTGTGGAAGTTTTTTGATTCTTACGCTTCCTTACAATCCCTTAGGGAATCTTGGCCGGGGATCGACGGTGAAAGTGAAACAGTGGCAGTGTCAATTCAAAATGTAGTACAATTTCGAACGAAATTCAAGACCTGCAGTTGCTAATTGCCAGACTTCCATGCAATTCCTACCTTGCATGGTACAGGTGATCGGGAAAGGATTTTGAGTCTTGTGTCCTAAGCACGCATTCCAACTGCGTGCAGTTCACTCAAAAGTAGGTTTGACATGGTGTGATATATTTGAGACTTAGGATCGAACATCGAAAATCAAGAAAACAGATACCAGTTGAATGTGTTTCCCAAATGGGATAAACCAGACCATTGGTTTCCCCGTGACTTAGGGCTACCAATTTTGGAGGATTTTGAGGTACTCCATGACTTAGGACTGAAGAAACGACCTGCGATTCGCGTCAGGTGCTTGTGGACCTTCTCAGCAACCTTTGGCCAACCGTTTTGTCAATGCCCATGGCAGATGCGACGCAGATGATCGCAGTTGATCTCTCGGTGCCATGGCATTTGATTCAATGAGATCTCCAAAAGATCTCCAAAATCTCCATTGTGGTTGACACCTGCCGTATCTTGCCGCCAGATATCGTATCATCATATCGTATCTAAAAAGGTTGCATGTATCTTAGTTTCGGTGTGGAAAGACCTGCCTCTTGGCAAAACACCATTGGGCCTGGCCTCATGCTGAGAATAGAATTTGATTAATCGGTGGAGTTCAAGCACTTGAGAAGATTCATAGAAAGGAAGAATTCACGACCTGGACGCATTTGGGCTCTTGGAAGTCTGGGGATCTTCGGTGTATAGAAATTTGCTGTATACATGGTCAAGCGCTGTATTTTGTTCGCGACTTGCATCGGCTGCCACAAATGCCAAGGACATGAGCGAGTTTATTGCCGCAGTACAGAATCGTTTTGTTTTTCAGACATGTGTATCCAGGTGCAGGGCACTTGTGGGATTTGAACACCTGACATTTTCGGAACAAGAGGAAGACATTCGGTCACTTCCTATAGCTGGCTACCCAGCATATTCGCACATTCTGTGCTTTGAGAGCGGAAACGGGCATGTTTGTGCTCGAAAATCAGCGCAATTGTTGTACCCATTGCGCGTGGCATGCTGGAAACGGCTCCGCTGTTCTTTCTTGAAAAAACATGTGCTTTCCAGTTTCGAACTCCTTAGCGCTAGAATTTGACACCTTCTGCTGGGAATCTTTGAGCCGCGGTCCCTGGCAGGTGCAAGTATCATTTTGCAGGTGATCGTGTGCGGGTGGAGATGACAGGAGGCAATTGGGGGAGAACCAATGATCCTGACACCGACATGACAAGCTTGGCCTACATTGTCAAGGCCCGGTCTGTTGTGAGGCTTAAAGCGTTGTATTCAAGTCTGGATTTAACTGGGCGGCAGTAATACGTTAATCTCAGCGCGTGTGAAGATAATCTCCTCAAGCTATTGCTGCTCAACATCTATAGATGAAACAGTGTCTTTATGCCAATGGTCAAGCTGAGTCTAGCAGTCTATAGCAGTCTATCAGTCTAGCTCTTTCATGAAGTGTTGGCAAACTGCAGCAACGGGACCACAGGATGTGCTGATGAAGCAGCAGGTCATGGAAGCTTACATCATGCGGAACTCATGAGAGAATGTGCCACGGGCTGCCATGGTGCTACGACTGCTACGGTGCCAAGTTTGTTTCCCATTATTTTCTTTCGGCTGGTCGAGTCACAAGAGGTGAGAACCTATCGAGCAGCGAAACTCTGGCTCGTTGCTGGGGAGTAAATGATCGGAGAAGTACCCTTTAAAAAGGGGAACTTGATAAATCGAGTGCTTGCCTCTAAAGGAGGCATGCATGACATGCACGGCGTGCTCAAGGCCTACACGCATGCTCAAGGCCTACACGCATGTTCATTGTTCGAGGTTGCTTTCTTCAAAAAAGATCTGCCGAGAGCTGGAACTCTGCCAACATGAACTTACTCATGCATCATTTGCTATAGACATAGGGTCAGCTGCATCAAGCTTTCGGAGATGCTAAAGCTCAGGAATCACGTTACCTGTAGCCATGGCAATTGAACGGTTCCGACTTTTGCATACTCCAATGATTCCAAAGCAGTTTGAATGCTGATCAGCATCCCATGAGGTTGTCGAACTGTGTCTAAGCTCTCATTGAAATATCTGTTTGGGTAGGGCCCCTGGGTAGGCATCCTCTGAATTTTTCTTTACAGAGGATAATAAGCTTGCCTGAGCCTCGGAGCCAGGGACTGCTCATGCCAAGTTGTCACTGGACAGGCCTTGTGTTCTTCAAAATAAATATATAGAGTTTTGTATTCGGCTCGATATGGGTGTGTCTGAAAGTGGGAAATATGGTATAGCCATTTCAATGGGGAAAATGATGATGATAACTATGTTCCTCATGATTCACGCCTGGGCTCAATTTTTTGGGCTCAACTGATGCCACCCCCCTTTACAGGTCTCAGCTGCCACTGGTGGGATTTCTGCTGCTCTTGTTTCTGCGTTCCTTCGAGCAGCCACTGCCACCTGTGACCTGTCAGGATTTGCTACCAGTATCAGCTGAACTGCACTGGCCATCGCTTGTGCTTGGCATCCTGCTAGGACTGGTGCTGGGCCAACTACTGGAATTGCTGCTGACCTTTCGGCAGTACTTGGTGTTGACGATCAGGCATCGTACCTGGGCATTCCTGAACGCCTCTGCCGTGAAAGCGCGTCTTGGATGAGTGAGGGCAATATCTCCGCCTTGCTAGCTGAGACGCAGAGTCTGCGGCAGGACTTAGCTGCCCTTGGTGCCAGGGTGCTCGCTTTAGAAACGAGACGGTGTTAGGAGATCTGGTTTCAGTGGGATCCCCTGTTACAGTCAACTACACACCCCCTTTGTCAGCCCTTGGGCCCCTCAAGTGAAGCCAGTCGCCGAAGTGCTGCTGCGCCTCGCCCTATACTGCTGACTATACGGAGGAAGAGCGCACTGAGATCGCGCAGGAGATTGGATTGTTTTTTCAGCGTGCATTGCGCGGTGACCATCGGGGAGAGAGTGGAAGGCAGAGGTTGAGGTTGGCTTCTAGGTTTTTCATTTTGGTGCGAGATCTACGAGGCCAAGTTTACAACCCAGTCCGCATTTTTCGGGCATTTTCAGAGATCCAGCCCTTTGTGAAAGAGAACGGGCGCTGTGGGGACAGTATCTTTGTTGGACTGCCTTCACTGTGGGAAGTAAGGATTTGTGTTGCCTCTACAGGCTTAGAGTGGCCAGCAGATGCCCGAAATTGAAGAGGACGAGCTGCCCCCGCCTGAGGTTGCCCAGCGTTCACAGCAACTCAGGCAGTGCACAGCCCTTGTGGGCGAGAAGGCGCAACCAGACCTGGATTACCCCGTCGGAGTTTTTCAGACAGAGGGGGGGAGGTGAGTCGTTTTTGATTTCTATCATTGCTGTTGCCGAGAGTGAAGGCAGAATAGTGGTAGCTGTTCCTTTTGCCGCCTGGCATCGCACCGTCCAAAGAAGGAAGTTGCCTAGCCAAGCTTTACCAAACCCAGAATCAGTTACTGTTGGCTCTGTGGATCGTGCTGCGGAGGACGATCCTTTTTTGGTGAGGACTGAGCCATCATTTTGAGGGTTGTGTCATTTTTGATCCAGACCCAGAGGCTCTGGAACCACATATTAATTTTGTGGAAGAGAATCAATCTTTGCTGCCTGAAGCTGCCGGTTTGGCGGCCGCGTTGGAGCAACACTTCATTTTGGAGTCTGCTGTCAGCGACTGAAGGGAGTCTGAGGAGAGAGACCCGCTTGACGCCAGGCTGTCCTTCCTTGAGAAGAATGCTGCTAGCATCTGATAGCACAGCTGAAAATGTGAGGCTGGCTGGCCGAGGCCGGCAGAAACTGACCGACTTGCCAAAGCAGATTCAGCGGCGGAAGGCCAAGCGGAATGTGCCGTCGGAGATCGACGAGGAGGCATTAGAGGAAGAAGGCCCAGCAGCATCGGCGGTCCTACAGACCCGATGGTGGTTGCAGTGACGAAGCTCACTCAAACCGCCCAAGATCCGAGCAAGAAGAGAAAGAAGGGAAAATCTCATGGACGCCTTACTCGACGGAGTTGGGTCGGGTGCCCATACCGACAGCTCATGCAGTCAGCGGCAACCGAAAGTATGCTGCTGCTCTCCAAGCATTGCGCAAGTGCCTGCGTCAGCAGCCGGAGGCGCTCTGCAAAGCGCTGGAGGACAATATGGAGGCGGACTTTCAGCCGAGGTCTCATACGGTGCCCAGTGCATCGGCAGTTCAAGTTACAGCCCGAGCGCGGTTGGATATGCGAAGGAGAGTCCAGGGTTATCAGACTCAAGTGTGGATTAATGTCAACGCAGCAGACGTCAGTGCTGCCACAATGCTCTCTAGGTTTTCATACTTGCCAGCCGATCTGCCCAATCTGCAGCTGCAATTGTGCAGAACTCCTTCCACTCGCCAAAAAGCTGCTCGAGTCTCTTCAACCCTGCTTGCTGTGCTGCCGTAGGTCTAGCTCGAGGGTTGTAGCCTATGGGGATCTTCTTGGGCCGAGGGGTGCGAGCTTGTCTTGATAAAGAAGAGAAAGTGAAACATCGTAGTGCACCCGCTGGGCTCTTCAGCAGCCAGCGTACTGTAGTTGGGATTTCCACAAGCTGTCAACCCGCGCAGAAGACGCAGCGGCTCCTGGCACCTTTCTGCCAGTTGGGCCAGCAGCAGCCACAGGTTAAGAGAGAGGTGTAGTTTTGAAGCTGCTGGAGGCACTGGACCAAACTGACCGCATCGCCCTCTTCCCCTAATCAAGTGCGCATGTCTCATAGACCTGGTGTTTTCTGCTTGATGAAGAATTTCACCACTGACAGGCTCATCCTCGACTCCCGGCCGGCCAACACTTTGGCAACCGCTCAACAGCTTCACCCAGACTATGGCTTCAGTGACTCCCCTTTTGGACATGACACTGGAGCCGGATGAAGTGGTGGCGACGGCTGGGGAGGACCTCAAAGACGATTACTACTTTTTCAAGATCAGCCCTTCACGAGCTGCTCGCAACGCCATGGCAGTAGAACTTGACCCTGCCAAAGCAAAGCGTTTCAAGTCAAAGCCTTCAGCCTTGTGAGCTCTCCTGCCTCAAAATACATCCCCGCGCTGCGGACAATGGCCGTGGGCGATGTCAATGTCGTTGAGTATGGCCAGCAAGCTCATTTGGCTCTTGCAGTTAAGACGGGGTTTCGCTTTTCCGACATGCTCACCTTGCGTGGGCGAGTTCCAAGGCAGAAGGTGATGGTTGGGGTGGTTATAGATGACCTCACTTGCTTAGCGAAGATGCGGAGGCAAGATCTGGGTGTTACAGAGCAGACGTCGGGCTAGTCGCCGACGCTATGGTGGAAGCCTATGAGAATGAGGGTCTCGTGCCAAATGGTTCAAAGAGGTCTAGAGGGGAGCTGAAAGCGAAGTTTTGGGGAGCGAGCTTGGATGGACATGAAGGGCTACTGCGAGCGCAGTTGGAGCGTGCTGTACCTCTTGCCATGCTCACCGCACAGGTCGCACGATTAGGTCGAGCCAACTTGGCTAGACTTCAATCTTGCAGTTCCGAAAGCGCTGCACGTGCCTGCTTGAAACTGACTGCTTGAGGAGATTCAGCTGTTTGCCTATGAAGAGGATTTTGCATTCCAGCCAGCCACAGTCGATGAACTCTGGAGCGCCCCTTTTTTGCACCGACCTTCGAACTGCAGTGGGCAAGGAGTTTTCCTTGGTCGACGCGTCGAATGAGTGAACTGCCGAGGTCAGTGCTGAGCTGCCTGTGGAGTTGGCGGAGGAGATGCTGCAGCATGAACTGGGCGCGTATTTTGTCGCCGTTGAAGGCTTTGCAGAGGTCTAGAGGTTTGTTAGCCCCGGAGGAGGAAGTGCCAGAAGGTGAAGCTCCTGTAAGAAGCCATCCCCTGTGGACAGAAGTTGTGAGGACTAAGAAGTTTGAGTTGAAAGCGCGCAAGCGCATCAAGAAGCGCGAGCATACCAACATTTTCTTGAACCGAACAGCAAAGTGCTGCTTGGGTCAGATAGCCAGGTAGTGTGCGGAGCATCAGTGAAGGGACGCTCTTCTTCAGCAGCCCTAAGCTCCCAAATGAAAGCTGCCTCCAGCAATGCTTGGCCAGAACATGCACCTGGGACTCCAGTAACCAGCAAGCGGTCCTGCATGGTTGATTGAGGCTGAGAAGGGGCAGTTTGAGGAGCTCGACGCGTTTTTGCGCCATGAGCAGCTAGACCCTTTGACCCTCGCTCGCCTTCCTGCTGAACCTGAAACGCAAGTTGAGGTGGTGCCTGCATTGTCAGACCGGCAACTGAAGCGAAACGTCAGGACTGAAACGGCGGCGGGGTAATCCACCAGTGGTGGCTAGTAGGTCTGAGCCATGGCTTCCTCGCCGAAAACTGACTGAAGCAGCTGTCGCGTTGTTGGAGCACAAAACGCACTCAGTTTGTCCTGCCGTCGAAGAATGCGGATCTCGCCGCATTGCTGAGCAAGCCTGGCCACCTAGACCTTTTCTCGCCATTTTTTCTGGAAGTGCTGCCCGTGCCCTTGCTAAGCGCCGGCAGATGGGTACTGACTTTTGACATATCCCATTCTCCTTCCGAAGATTTGCTGCAGCTAGAGGTGCGAGAGCAAATAGAGGAAATGATGAGAGCGGGATGTTTCTTATCTTGCTCTGCCTTGCCAGTCTGCGCTAGTTTTTCTCGGGCTGTACAGCCCCCCGTGCGTTCGAAAGCATGGCGGAAGATTTCAAACTTTGCCTCCAAAACATGTCTTTTCTTTTCTAATGGCCTGCAGGGCTGCCTGATGCGCAAGAGACCATGAAGCAGAAAATTGCTGTTGGAAATTCCTTTGCCCGCTGGGTAGCATCTCTGGTAGACGCTGGCGTTGCAACTGAACTTGGCGGTCTGGGTGGAAAATCCAGCCGGCAGTTTTTTCGGGGATCAACTGGAGTGGAAAGCGTTGATCGAATCTGGCAGGCTTTCCTTTTTTGTCACTGATTTTTGTCGCTGGGGTATGCCTTGGCGAAAGCACACCAAAAGCTCGAAGCCCCACATGCGTTTGGTAGGATACTCACCTTTGTTCCGGCGTGCCTGGACCAAAGCGGCTGAGGACTATCCCTCCGGATTGTGCAACTTTTTAGCCAAGCTGTTGCAGAGCGTCTGAAACCCGAAAGCAGAAGGGCGACTCTGGATGCAGCTGCCTGTGCACGTTGCTGCGCCCGGCGGATAGGCGAGGCCAAAAATCCGGGCCCTCGGAACAGACGTTTTGCCAACGCTACTTGGAGCGTGTGGGGCTGGTGGGAACCACTACACTTTTATTGCCGAAAAGAGTGTATACACAGTTTATGGATTGGCTGAAAGCTCAGCTGTCTGAGCCGACTTGGGTCAGCGCTTGTGGGCAACCGCAGTTACAAGTCTTTTTCTTGCATAGCAATGGAAACTGGCTTTTTCAGACGGGACAGCCTTTATATATATATATGTTTTTAGACATTTGGTTGTTTTCTGCCAGCAGCAATTTCCTCATCTGCGACCTTCTATGACGGAAGCCTGGAACTTGCTGAGTCGCTGGGAGATTTTGAACCCTCATCGGCCTCCAGCGCCGAAACTGGTTTTGATGCTTTCTTGTCAGTGGCTTGGTCTTGGGAGGCGTTATGCCCGTCGACTGCTTCGACATACAGGCGGCGCTGGGATAGACTGCTTGAAGTGTTCAATATTCAGAACGCGCTGAAGTTGACACCAGGGGGCTTGCGAGGGCGAGGTGCTATTTTTCTTTACCACCAATCCACTACTGCAGTCTCCAGCATTCTGAGACTAAAACACCTCGCCACTCGGGAGAGTTACCTCCAGGAGACAGCAGCTAGCTCTCTACTTGCAAAACTTAGTCCTCACACCAGAAGTTCTTAGATGGCTTCCTCTCGTTTTCTTTCTTTGATGCTGCGAGCTTAGCTGTCCTGTTGCAGTGCACTGACGTGTTAGCACTGAAGTGGTTTGTCCGCGCACAGCGGCTTGTCGCACTGCTGTAGCTGTTGGTAGAGGTGGAGCTGCTTTGCATCACAGGTGATCCTCCTACAGTTTTTTCTTTGAGCAAAAACCTTGATCACTTGGGGCTGTGACGCTCCATCTTGCTGCAGAGGCGGCGCCGCTCTGTCCAACTTACCGGTGCTTGCCCAGGAGAGGAAAGTCAACACTGCAGAACCCTGGAGTTAATCATATATATATTGGAGCTAATCGTATATATATATATATACATACATACATAATATATATATATATATAATCGACTGGAATTGGGCATGCCCTATTCTCTGTCAAAACCTCACATGGTCCAAGACATTTTGCCTCGGCATCCCAAGGTTTGGCCAGATGATCCTGATCGTCTTGGTAGAGTGCAGGTAGCGCAGTCGGCTTCCTTTTCTATTCTTAGAATTTGTGCTACAGAACTGTCCATGTAGGAAAGGTCTGTAGATTATCTCTATATGTGCTGGAATTTGCCATGGAAACAATTGGAAACTTCCATATTGCGGGATTGTCTTTCCCCATTCCAGTTCGTGGTTTTCATATAAACATTCTGTTCGGAATCCCATGCGGGTCGCATGTCCAGGCAGTCCAGCCTCTATCAGCACAGGCGTAACGGGAAGGTGAACGTTTTCTGGTGGAAGGTGATTTCACCATGGAAAATGGTGGTTATACGGTTAAACATGTTCCGTCCAACCCGGACGTTGCTCCACACTTACAATCATCATCATCATCATCATCACCATCATCATCACCATCACCATCACTAGTGTCAACTCATGTGGAATGGGGTAAGGCCATGTAATACCATCAACATTTGATGTTTCCACCACCCCCTTTGACAAATATGTTGAATGGGGCAAGCACATCAACTTATCGTCATAAGGGAACGAAAATCCACCACCCTCTATGACAAATATGTTAAATGGGGTAATCGCATGAACATATCTTCATAAGGGAACGAAAATCCACCACCCTTTTGACAAAATATGCTGAATCTGATATTAGTATCCACGTATCTTCATAAGGGATCGAAAATCCACCACCACCCGCTCTGACAATACTTTGAACGGGGTAATCACATCAACTCATCTTCATAAGGGATCAACAATCATCAAACATCCAGCGCCCGCTATGACAAATATGTAAAATGGGGGTAATCTTACCCACTTATCTTCATAAGAGATCAACATCCGCCACCCCCTCTGACAAATATGTTGAATAAAGAATAACATCAACTTATCTTTGTAAGGGATCAAAAATCCACCACCCGAGTTGACAAATATGTTGAATGCTCCAATCACATCAACTTATCTTCATAAGGGCTCAAGCACCCACCACCCCCTATGACAAATATGTTAAATGGGGCAATCGCATCAACTTATCTTCATAAGGGATAAAAAAAATCCACCACCCCTTTTGACAAATATGCTGAATCTGATATTAGTATCAACGTATCTTCATAAAGGATCAAAAGAATCCACCACCCGTCATGACAAAATAGCATCAACTTATCTTCATTTAATAAGGGATACAGTATTGATGATGATGATGATGATGATGATGACGATGACGATGACGATGACGATGGCGACGATGATTTGATCATCAAGGGTCACATGTACATCTACATATCGAAAGTCCACCGCCATGGCACTTCAAAAATACGCAACCCTTCCACAATTCCGGCGCGGAACAACGTCAGGGTTGCAGCGAACATGTTTTTTTTCGCAACAAACATGGAGAAACAGGTAGAATTTCATGGCATTTGGATTTTTGGAATGCAATACAGTCAGTCTCCCTTGTCGTTTTTTTCCTGGATTGATCGAATCAGGTGCAGACAAGAAAATATGGATAGTTTTTTTCGATGGAATTCGCAAGCTACGTGCAAAATGGTGGACACTCTTTTTCAGTATGATTCATGATTTGTTGCACTTCCATTCCAGTGTTGGTAAATGTGGGCTGAATAGTGGCGAAAACCCAAATCCGAAAGGACGACTAAGGCATGACTTATGCTCAACTGTGCTTAAGATGGCGAAAACCCAAAATGGATCGGAGGGATGACGTAGACCTCCTGCTGTGGGGAAGAAACGGTCTTATGTTTTTCCTCGAGTTGTCTCTTTTATATCTTTTATCATGGTCAAAAATTGTGATGCTGACTTCAGACAGGTGCCGCCACACCATAGTTCGTTCCTGGATTTTCTGAGAGGCCGGGTGTTCAATTTCCCTCATTTGATGCCTCAGAGATGGGTCGCGAACAGACATGAAATCTTGTGGGGGCACCGACCTTGTGAAACGTGCAAGAAATGACACACCCTTCCAACACAAAGAAACCAACATGTTTGTTTGTAACAATTATTTTCCAGCAAGCATACTGTAACACTTTGTGATTTTGGTACTGTTTAGAATTCGCAAAAATTGAATGTGTCACCCGGTGCCATTCAGAAGCAATCAGCATGCTCGGCCTGGCATGTTGAGGCCTATTTCAGCAACTTGGTTTAGTCATTGAGGGATCTTGTTGGATCACCGACGGAGAAGCAAATTCTTGGGGCTGCCATGCGGAACAGAATTGCAACTCCCTCGCAAATGATTATATAGGACATCTAGCCAAAAGACGGACTAGTCTTGGGCCTTGGGACTGCTTTGAACGGAAATGCGTGATAAGGACCATTTTCCAGATTCGAAAATTCGCAGGAACCTCTCATACTGTATTTGATGGGGCAAATCATGGTTTCCCGAATTTTCCGACCAATCCACCAAGGCTAGAGCCTTTGCAGAGGGTGCATGCTTTCCAGGCACCACAGGAGTTCCTGACTGGGGAGGCGCAGGGTGAGTGATTTTGATACTGGTTGGGTTAGTCCACAAATCATGGGATATCCACTGGATATCCAATGAATAAGGCAACCTTAATGGGGAAAATGACAAGCCATGGAATTTTGGGAGACAACCCACCCCACTTGGGGCACCAGTAGAACCTCAACATGTGTAATTTTCAGGAATAAACAATATCTCTTTTTTGGCAAACGATGGTGACTGACCTACAGTCAGGGAGGGGCTTCCGCATGTTTGGACACACCCTGATGCGCTAGTGCTTTCGACCTTCCTGCTTCTGGGGACATCTTATGAATTGTGAAAAGTGGAAATGAGGGTATGGAAAGCAGATTGATTTCATGTTTCACCATATCAAGACTACAAACTTGATGAACAGCTTCTTGCGGCATAGAAGAAATGTACTGTTCATTGCCATTGTCAAACACTTGCAAGGTGCATGAAGGATGCCAATGGACACCAGACCTGGAAGCTGGAAAAAGCTACAAAAACAGTGCGTCAAAAGCGCGTGGGAAACCGCCTGAGGGCATCAGGAGCTAAAAAGAGCCGATGTGAAAGACCCTGGCAAGATTGGCAAGGTGCGACTCGTGTCCAGCTGATTCAAAGGATTTCAAAGGTGTGATCGTGAAAAGCTGTACAGCGGGAGAGGACAGAAGGCGTTTCGGCTCCAGCAAGAAACGGCGAAGGTCGTTTAGAACTTGCCCTAGTCTGTCTATTTCTTCATGTGAAGACATTTGATTGACACGAAACGGAATGCCAAGATACAAAAGCACACTGGACAGCACACTTATATACAGTATTTAGAGTAATTATATCATTATCTTGATGAATGCCATCATCGACGCAACATGAAAGCATTGAAACTTTGTACACCATCAAGTGGCACCTCTTGGAAGCTTCCATCGTTGCCATACCCTCTGTGGGCTGGAAGTGATGGCCAACACAGTGGCATGGCTTGATCAACAGAGAATGCATGGCTTGTTTGGAAAACCTTGCGCTTAGAGTCTTAAAGCACCAGGAAGGCCATTCAAGATATTCAAGCTGTGAGTGTCGTGGCTAAACCTCATTGACTAATTGGCCAGAATGCTTCAAATCTATTTAAATCTGTAGTGGCATCTTCCTAAGGATAGTGAAGAGGATGAAGTGGAAGAGCCTGACTTTGTTCCACCGCCACCTTCGAAAGCCGGACACCAAGATACAACAGAAGCGTTCACAACCGTCCTGCACGGGAAAGGCTGTTTTATTGGCTTTGCCATTATAAAGGATTCAAACTTGCGCGCTGTGCCAAGAGATGCATTTTGAGGCATAGGAACCAGAAATATTATTTAAAATTTAAAGATACTTATTTATTAAAGAGTTTCTATGAAGTCATCCCAGAGTGTCGCCCCGGCTGTCGCCCGCGGCCTTGAGGTAGTTCGAACTCAGAGACAGAGTGTCTCAGCAGAGGCTTTCGGAGAATGGTCTGGTGCCTCAGTGGACAAGTTTGACAAAATGTAGCAACAAACACCTCCATCCGTTTCTTTCAGGTTGACTTGGACCATTCTTACAGCTGTTCCCGCAAACAACATAGCGTTCTCCAGGAGCACGCTTTCCTTTATTCTGCCGAGGAATCAGCGAGTGGTTTTTGAGCCGCCCATATACCCCAAGACGTCGGGAATCCTGTCATGGCTTGCAGTTCGATGCTTTGAGGACAATTGAAAAGTTTGAAAAGGACACCTTTTCATCGAGTGACGAAACATTGTGTGGGAGATGGTTTCACAGTTGTCCATCAGTTTCCATCGGATCAGGCCAGATCAGAGTCAAGAGCTTCTCGAGGCAGCCCAATTGCGACAGTGCAGCAGAGTGGCAGATCTCAGACTCACATCTAAAACTGCCACAACCTGGCCCTGTGGTAGTTAAGCCATATCATGAATATTACGATGTCAATCAAGCCAGCGAATTAGGCGAAACATATTTGAAGCTTCAACAGATGGGTTTGTTTGAAAATTGGGTGCCCCATTCGATCCATTGGTATTGGCATTGGTATGTTTCATTGTATTTCATAATTTTACAATTAACATGGCCATTAATGTAGGGGGGCTCCTCCATTTTCAGACACACTCAGATGTTAATATCATATTGGTTATAGATCCCGTTAAGACCCCATTGATACCCCATTCACCATTAATAATCATTAATATCCCATTTACTGCTGGTGCAGGTGACTTCCCGATCCTTTCTTTTCACCTCTTTGGAGGAGAAAGACCTGCGGGTCAGAGGACCTCAGAGAAATCCCATCGGTGGCTGATGGTGAAATGGGTTTCTTACTAGCTGATTTAATGATGTTTAATGGAGATCATCAGAACCCTTAAAACCTTGAAACAAAGGGGATGACAGAGTCTTCAACTGCTTGAATGATTAATTTAAATGGTGTTCGCTTAGATGAACACAGATGGACTGCGGAGATTCACCGGACTTTCCTCGGCGGTTTCTGCCGCAAATGCCCCTTGAGTGCTTCCAGATTGCGTGCATAATTCTCATAGTGTAGTGGAAGTTCAAGTTCCATGACTCATGGCACCAAGAGCATGTAGAGAGATATTGTCCTCGCTGGGCCACCTTGAGTGATCTTGAGTGTAATACCTGGGCTGAGGTAGTCATAGCTGCAATGAAAGGGCCCTTGATTCTAGAACCAGGCTGGAATGATTTTTTCTTCAGAAAGGCAAATGAAAAAAAGCGAAAAACGGAAAAAGACGAACATACTCAAGTTACTCAAGTTACTCAAGAGCTCATCAAGAGCTCATCAAGCTCATATTTCTCGAAGGAAAACCCAGGTGGACACGCCTCTTCGCGGACATTTTGCAACAGTTAGGTGAACGGCCAACATGGGCCAACAACTCGGAAAACAATTCACGTGTCTTGGGAAGTCAAGAACTCCAGCTTTCAATTAGGGCAACCATGCGGTGCCAAGTGAACCCTCCCTCTTTGGTCGCAGGCATGAGGATCATCCAAGAAGGTGATGCAGGGGATGCGCTCTATGTGGTCACGGACTGATGTGACATGTCACAGCCCAGTGGCACTCAGCTGGCACCCAATGGCTACCCTCTGGCAGCCTCTTGTCCTTTGGCCTGATGCAGATTCACATCCCTTTTATCTACATGCTTCCACGATCTTCCATTCTTTTGTTGCACGTGTGGATTTGGAGAACGACTAGTGAGTGGTTGCTGGGCTGCGAGGAGGGCGAGATGGATTGCATCAAGATCATTGACGGAGTCGAAATGGTTCTCGCCTCAAATCTGTGTTGAAATTCTGGGATTTCGACGCTCGTTTGAGATGATTGGTCACCACAACAAAGCTTGGCATAAACTACGGTATTTTTTCAACGATGCTTGGCATAAACTTCTATCAAACTTCTATTATTTCTATTCTTGGAATTGATTGGAGGTAGTTAAGACCTGCGTCAAGGGAGACCTCTTCGGGGAGCTGGTGGGAGCGCCCAGTCAATCTGGAGTGAGCTCGAGATTCTGTAGCTCGGCTGAACGGATTTGATGGGCTATATGATCCTATATGATGCTATATGATATATGGCAATCAAGAGCTACCATTGCAAAGCTACGATAAACTTCTTGGCTTGCCTGATCCTGGTAGTCGTCGTTCCGATCTATGCTAACCCAAGACTTTGCCTCTGAGTCTGATTTCATACTTGTCCAAATTTGTACCTACAGTACGCAGTTTCTCTGTTTCATGCTGCTGACATGTTTTGTCTTTCTCCCGTCTTTGCCTTCGCCTAGATCAGACCTCACTTTCCGTTGCAATACACTCATTAGCGTTTTTGCGGTGTATGTGAGTACACAAATTCCACTTGGGCTCGTTTAAAGACTGGGAATACCCTGAAATTCCATGGTTCACCATAAGTTTCCCCGTAAGAATATGCAATCAGCTGGACTAATTTCCACCATTTTCACGGATTGTAGCATGGAAGTTGAAAATCCACCAACGAAGTAAGCAGTCATGAGGCCTTGCTCTACAACTGCCCTCGGGCAGCAAGTGTGCAGTGCCGCGAGGCAAGCGCTGGGGCCGGGGGGCAAAGGGTAGCCACCAGGAGGGCTTCAAAAATCATCTGTTGATTTAATGGGGACTTTGAGATGGTCTAAGCATCAGAGAGAGGGTTTATTTTAGATTTTTGACCATCAAAAATATGGGGATGAAATTGAGAAATGAGAAGAGGAAGGGGATTAGCAGACTCGGTATTCCTCATTATCCGATCATTGTAAGGGATTTTTCGAGTGTTTTTAGACACTGTTCAGGAGTTCACGGAAAAACATGGCCTTCACTGTGCAAGTAGTTTTTCAATCAAGCTGATGCCTGCAGTGAAACAAGCTGGGTGTATTTTACCCACGTTGTTAGCTGGCCACAAACTTGTGATCAGATCGAACAATAACAACAAGGAAAACACACACACACTATACATATATATATATATGTTATGTGGAGCAAATATTCTTACAGAGGCGGTAGATGCACCTGCAGATGTACCTGCGTACAGGCACATAGGCAGTATATAGTATAGATTATATATATATATATACTATATATATAGAGTGTATGTTTATGCAGAATGCTGGTCTGTCATTCGCAAGGCTGCAGTGCTCTGGGAGTTGGATCGAGCAACCTTCAACAATAT